TCCCAGCTATGTGGCCGCTAATGTGAAGGGAAGCCCATTGAGTTGACAAGCACAGTAGTCTTCAGCTTTTCTATTTAAATCCTCTCCAACCTCATTTAAAGGTACCTTCTCTATGAGATGGGGAACAGTGAATCCTGTCTCCTTTGGGCCCTCACTTGGACTCATTGTTCATCAATTTTGACATTAGTCACATACTGCCTGTTATTTTTGCTTAACTCTTTCAAGTCTTTGCTTCTTGTGTCCTCAGTTAGCTACTGGAGGGTAAGAATTATGTCATACCCTTCTCTTATTGACCCCACAAATGTCAGCTCTATTAGCCCATAATATATGTTTAATAAATATGTGTTGACTTGCAAATCCTGTAATTAGAAAATATGGAATAATTTATTAAATATGAGGGAAGGTGTTCTGTGTCCTTTGGAAGGTTAACAATCACATAGAAACAACTTTAAACAAAGAGACAGGAGCCTTAGCTTCCAACCCTGGCTATGTTACCAACTCCCATTACGACCTGTGGCCTTCTCTTGTTGTCGGTTCCCTCATTTGTGAAACCAGGGCTGATCTGTAAAGTTTCTTCAGCTCTGGGTTTGGGCTACTTAATCTAGACAGCAAGGGGCAGCTTTTTTCATGTTAGTGCTATTAATGCCCACGATGACCTTTGTTTTCTTATAGGGACTGCCTAATTGATGGAGTCCCTCCTCCAATATTATAAAATGGGAAACTCCAGTATATAAAATGAGAAAGTAAGTGCTTTGACCAAGCTTCCACACATAGCATGCGTGCATGTGTATGTGTGCATTGCTCACTCCTCACCCCAGGCCCCGGGCTTTGACTGGCTTCTTCCATCCCAGAGCTAGCTAGCAGCCCTTACCACACATAGGACAGTCAGCCCTTAATTATGTGCATGCCCACTTTCTCCTCTGTGATTGACACAAGGGAAAAGTGTGACATTGCTCTTGTCCCTCTGCACACTCCCATCTAGGGCCATAATGTCCATTGCCATGTTCAGTGCAATCTCTTCAAATACTGTCCTTTGAGAAGGAGATGAGAGACACAAGACACTAATCCTTGTTTTCATGGAACTTCCAGTCTGCCTGAGAAGTGGGATAGGAATGTGGGGGGGGGGGCGGGGGCGGGGAAATGTGCTGCTATAGGTAAAGGAGGACCTGGGAGTCAAGTGCTGCTTTGATACATTTCTAATTCTTAGAACAGTGCTTGATACATAGAAGATGCTCAACAAATACATAAAAGTAGGTGAAAATTGTCATGGTTTTCAAACTTTTTAGATTAGAAGAGAAAGGCTTTCTTGGTAAGAGGAGCTAGGGTCTAGCCATCTGGGCTCCAGAGAAGTTCCTCAGAGTTCTGTCACTGCAGTCAGTTGGAAAGGAGTCGAATATCAGCTTGCTCTTTTTCCTGGTTAACCTTAGCAAAATAAATGGAGGTGTGAAGACTCTGGTCTTCCAAAGGGAATATTTGCACTTGAAAAAGTGGTGTCAATCTCTCCTCTCCCCTTCTTCTAGGGAACCCCAGTTAGTAAGGGCAAAGGGGAGGAAGCTTTGAGTAAGAGGCTTCTGAGTTGGTCTACAAATGTATAACAATGTAATGCTTGTTAACTTTAAATAAAGAAGGAAAGAAAACCCCTGTGGTAATGTTTCCTAGTATTCAATAGAAACCCATTTTATGTTACCTTACAAGCAGTCCTGATTTGAAAATACAATGTAAAACTTTTGTGAAGTCTGTTCTGTGAATAGGCCATGCTGTCTTTTGAACAGTGCACCCTGCACCACCCTGTTAGCTACTAACATTCCTAATCAAGTTCATGATCAACCTTGGGCACAAGCAGCTACCAGAGGGGCTACCTGATGAGAAAATCTCTACTTCATGTCTGAATGAGACCCACCGCCCTGACTTGGCCTTATCCTTGAGTATCCACCCTTGACCAGCAAGGGAGGGAAACCAATCCAGGGGATACATACTTGTCACGGTGACCCAGGGAGGAAGGCACAACCCAGATCTGCATCTGAAAGACAATTTTGGGTGACTTCTATCAATTTTTAAAAATTTGTCAAATGGATAAATCTCTTGAATTAAGAGGTTTTCATTCTTATCCATCTCATAACCCTTTAATGTAAATCTCTTTACCTGTGCTACAAACTTGCTCCTCCATACAAGTGCCAGAAGGTACAGGCAGGTAATGCTGGGGACCCTACTAGAGACTGAATGTGTCACCTCAAAATTCATAAGTTGAAAGCTAATCCCCAATGGGATCATATTTGGAGGTGGGGCATCTGGGAGGTGATTAGGTTATGAAGGCTCCCTCATGAATGACATTTGTGACCTTATAAAAGAAACCGGAGAGAGATCCCTTGCCCCTTTATGGATGTGAGGTTATTGCAAAAAGACAGCCATCTATGAACCAGGAAGCAGGTTCAGACCAGACCCTGAATCTGTCAGAACCTAGATCTTGAACTTCCCAATTTCTAGAAATAAATTTGAGAAATAAACTTGTTTTCTGCAAGCCATCTAGTCTATGGTATTTTGTTATAGCATCCTGAATGGACTAAATGACTTCATTCAAAACAGCAAGGGAAATGAAGGGTAAAAGGAGCTCACTTTAGACAGTAAGTCACCAAGGGCCCCAGCTTTCCCCCTGCTGCATGGCGCAGAGGGTGTCCAACCGGCTGCCTAGGAGCTGCATGTGGCCCAGGATGACTATGAATGTGGCCCAACAAAAATTATAAATTTACTTAAAACATTATGACTTTTTGTGTGTGTGTGATTATGTGTCACAATGTATTTAATGTGTGGCCCAAGACAACTCTTCTTCTTCCACTGCGGCCCACAGACACCAAAAGCTTGGACACCCCTGGATAGCCACTTCTTCCACCTCTTGACCGACCAGTCCCATGGCTTCCTTATCTTCAAAATTTAGCTTAGGCCTGAGCCATCTGCCTACCGCTGCCCTTCTACTACTACTGCAGACTATCCCCCCCAACCCTGCACCCAAGCCCCAACCCACAGCATCTAGACTAGTTTTTTATACTTAACTAGTTAAGCTGGTATCATTAAATCTGGTCTTAGGATAGAAGCATCTCAAGGTTAGGACTGGAGGGAATCGTGGATACTAGGAGAAACTAAAGCTTCCTCAGAGGTCTTGCCCAAGGTTACGACAAAAATAGGGCTGCGAGCCAGGTTTTCCTATGTGTCCCTTATGCCTTCCTGGGTACATCCTGAGCTTCTCTATTGCTTTTCTTGGTCTCTTTCCCCATATGAGCCAGCTTCCCTTCTCCTCTCTGACATTCTGTCCCCATCTTCCAGTCACCGGTGAGAGGCTCTAGGGATTGCTGCACAGTACCCGCTCTCTGTGACCTCGGTGTTGGGATCAACGACCTAAAGCAACAGAGCCCGGACAGAATCCGTGGTCCCCAACTCTGAAACAGGACTTGATGCCAACTAAGATCATCCCTGACATTGGTGCGGAAGCCCAAATGACGGCTCCCAGAATTTAGGTCACTTGCCCAATGTCAGTGAGCTAAGAAGTGGCCACAGCAGTAGCCAACTGTAGGTCCTCAGGGGTGGCGCTCTGCCCCGGGCACTGCTCTGCCCCACGTGCTGCTCCAGGCACTGCCCAGAGCCTGGAGATCTGGAGGCTGACTGAGCCAGAGGCAAGCCCAGACCCCGCCTCCCTGCTCCTTGCTGCGTGACGGGGTGGGGGAAGACGTGGGTGGGGGAAGACTGCGTTATTCCTTTAAGTCTTTAAGCGTCGCCTGCTTATTTGTGATTGTGGCTCGCGTCTGAAGAGTGGGGGCTGGAAGGAGACAGTGTGGGCGGCTCACACAGTCCTTCTGGAAGTAATCGGAGCACCCTCAATGGTCCCTAGCCACTGTGAGCCAAGCTCCTGCAGCTTTTGCGCAACCCTACCCCTGGAGCGCAACCCCCGACTGTGATGCGAGAATGTCTGAACTCAGGGCTCTGGAGTAGCAAACCCGAGGATAGCGTGGCCCGCCGCTGAAGTGCGCCAGGATTCGCGGGATTTCTCCGGAGTAGCGCTCTCGGGTCCTTCTCCGCCAGCCCTTCTCCCACGCCCCACCCCCAGAGTACCTTCAGACCCCCGCAGGCTGAGTTGTCGCGACCCGGCCCCTCCTGCCTGTGGCCTCCGGGGCCGAGTGCACTTCCAGTACGGCGCCCGCGCCAGCGCAGGTTCCGGCGTTGGGGGCGGGAGACGCGAAGAGCGGGGCACGCGTGGCGCCACCTCCGCGCCCCAGCTGGCCAGCGAATCTTCTAGGCGCTTACCCCACTTCTCAGACCGCACTGCCCAACTTCTACACCTGCTGGGCGGCTGCTCCGTGTCGCTCCCAGAATGGGAAACCGAGCGCCCTCGGATAATTGCATTCAGTACTTTTGGAGGACTCCCGGGGATGGCTGTAAGGGGCCCTGGGTATGAGGAGCTGGGGCGGAGCTTCCAGAGCTTGCGGGCAGGGGCCAGGGGCCAGAGCAGGGGGTCGCTTCCCGGGGACCCTCTCAACTCTCTTCCCTTCGGAGACAGCAGTGGTCGTCCCTAGAAGGACGAGACTGGGGGGTTCCGAAAGACCTGGTGGATTGTGCTCCTCGAGGTACCGGCTTCTCTGGGCGCGGTGGGGTGGGGAGAGGGCCGCTAGCAAATGGCTGGCAGGGGAGACTTGTTTGCTAGCCGGTTTGGAGGTGGGATGGGGTAGGGTTTGGAGACGGAAGAACCAGAGAGCAGACACTTTGAGTTTTTTTTTCCTCTCTCCCTCGTCCGAAAAGGAACCACATTGGCAGGGGAAATAAGGCGGAGTGTAAATACAAACAACCTCAAAAAGAAGCCAAGAAAAGTGAAGCCAAAAGAAGCAAGCGCAACACTGTTACAAAACTGTCTGGTTTTGTAACAATTTCCTCGCCGCCGGCCAATGAGCGGCTTGGCGGCGAGTCACGTGGTGCCGTTTTATATAACACTTTGCTGAGACAAGACAGTTATTAGCCTGCGCGCGGCGGCCGGCATGGAGCTCGCGGAGGCGCGGCAGGGACCGGTGTGCAGTCGCGCGGCTGCGGTGGCAGCCCCAATTCCCTCCAGCCGCCGCTCCGGGCTCCGGGTCCCCGGCCCCTAGACGCCTCTTCCCGCGCGTGTCCCTCCCTGTATGGATTCACCTCGGACTGGACAGATGCTGAGCTTGCCCTCCGAGCTTAGCAGCAACAACTTAGAGCTGGCGCAGCCGTCGGCATCAGTGAACCGTGTAGATACGGGCCCCCATCAGGAGGCGGCTACGAAAGGCCCCTCACCTCTACCGATGCGGGAGCCAGAGCGAGAACAGCCTCCTAAGGCCTCGACGCCGGAGTGCAAAGTCCTGCTCACCCAGGCCGACGCCCTGGCGTCCGGGGGGCGCCTCCGGGAAGCTCTCGAGGTGTACAGACAGCTGTCGGAGCGTCAGCAGCTGGTGGCCCAACAGCTGGAGCAGCTGGTGCGCTGCCTGGCCGATAACGTCCCGCGAGGAGAGGCGCTGGCTCCGGTGCCCGAGGACCGGAGCAGCCAGGCAAGCTGCGTGGTGATGTCGGAAGAGGCAGGGGTGGCAACAGCTGCCGAGGCCACCGAGGTGTGGGATGGCTTCAAGTGCCGGAAGTGTCATGGATTTCTGTCAGACCCCGTGTCCTTGTCGTGCGGCCACACCTTTTGTAAACTGTGCCTGGAACGCGGACGGGCAGCCGACCGGCGCTGTGCGTTGTGCGGCGTAAAGCTATCCACGTTGATGGTGGCCACTGGGAGGGCGCGCGGAGCCCGGCGTGCTGGGCAGCAGGCGCCGCCACCCCTGAGGGTCAACGTGGTGCTCAGCGGTCTCCTCGGCAAGTTGTTCCCTGGTCCAGCACGGGCGTCGCAACTCCGGCACGAGGGCAACCGACTGTACCGCGAGCGCCAGGTGGAAGCGGCGCTGCTCAAGTACAATGAGGCAGTCAGACTAGGTGAGCCTACCGCGCCTCCCCGCAATGAAACCAGAGGGAGGTGAGGTATGAACCAGAGCGGAGGAGGGCGCGGGGGGCCGTGGGATGGACTGGGGCTGGAGTGGGGGAGGGGTTTATGGAATTCAGTCTTTGACTTTTTTCGTGTATCCCTACCAATTTCTCTTTTTTTCCCCTCTGTGTCTCTGCCTCTCTGTTCCTGTTGCTGTGTGTGTGTGTGTGTGTGTGTGTGTGTGTGTGTGTGTTTTCCTGTATCTCCTATTAGCTTCTGTGTTTCCGCATCTCTGTGCTTGTGGCGCTGTTTCTGTCTCTCCTTTCCTCTGTCTTTCCCACCCTTGTCACTCCGTTTGTTGCTCAGTGTGACCGACTCTGTTTTCCTGTGTTTCCTCCTCTCTCTGCTTCTGCACGCTTGGGTCGTCTCTTACACCTGCCTGCACTTTCCCAGCTGAGAGGGGAACTTCGCACCCTTTCTACCCTCGCGCCAGCTCCACTGAGTTCCCGCCAGCCCGAGGTGTTCACTAAGCGCCTTCGTCCTGCTGTCCCGCCTGGCCCGGACCGCCGTTTCGGCCGGGAGCTGTCTTTTCCGGGGCCACGGCTCCGGGTGGGGTGGGTCCGGCGTGGAATTAGGTCAGGAGAACACTGGTTGCATAAGGGCCGCGAGCGGCCCAGGCCGGGCGGCCCCTCCTTCGCGCGGGCGGGCAGGCGGGCGGGATTGTGTAACGGCTGAGGTAACCGAAGTGGGCCACGCTCGCTTCGGAAACCATCCCGCGAGCATGGAGGGGAGGAGCGCTCGCGCCCCGCTGCCCTGTGACTCATTGTCACCGCTTCCTATCACACGATCCTCGGCTGAAATAGATGCTCCCCCCACCCTCTTCCCGCTCCAGTCTGCTGCCTGCGCCCTCGCCTGGAACCCTTACCTCGCCAGCCCGGTAGGCGACCGGCCTGGCGACTGCTCAGGGATCCCAGGAGACTGTGGGCTAGCTGCGGTGGGGACAGGCCTCTGTCCCGCTTTTCCCGCGCTGCCTAGAGACTGATGGGTGGGCTTTGTGGGTTCAAGGACAACGTGGGTAACCCCATGCCTGCAGCCTGGCTAGGGTGCTGGAGTTCCTGCAGGGAGAAGCTTCCTGGACATCCTCTTCCCACACCTGTACCCAAGGAGTGGCCACGGAGCCTTTGGCCTGTATTGCCCAGTTCGGGCAGGCTGCCAGAAGCTTAGCCGGGGGGGACGTGGTGTCTGGCCAAGCATGCTGAGGAGGAAGGAGGTAGCAGGGCTGGTCAGACAGGGCTCTGGGATTGAGGGTGCCCTGAGCCTGACTCTGATGGATGAAGGAGGGGTGGGCTGGAGTCTCCACATGTTGATCCTCCAACAGAACTGGCAACAGGTATTGGGGGAAGGGGAGGAACTAAGGCTGACTGATCAAGACTGGCACCTGAGGGAGATGGGGACTCCCCCCCATACACACACACTATACACACAAACCCTATGTGCACAAGAACACACTGTGAGCTGCCACTGGACTAGCATGTGCTGCAGAAAAGAAGCGACAGAGAAGACAGCAAACTCTTTGCTAATATCTTTAGAGCAAGGAATAGGCACCGAAGCAAACCTTCACACCCCTGGGAGAAAAAAATCAACAAAGCCTGTTCCCTCAACATAAGCTAGAGCCAGGTGCCTCTGGAAGAGTAGGGCAATATGAAGAAGATGGGTAGGTGGAGGCCACTTAAGTCCAGATCTCCAAGGGAGGTTCTATTCCTCTCAGCCACCCTTGCAAGGCCAGTATTCCCTGGGTTTTTTCCTTGCATGGTCAGAGTAGTCAGGGTGAAAATGTCAAGACCACTTCACCCTTCTAGGAGGAAAGCAGCCTCCCCAACAAAGAATATCTTTGTGCTGGAAGACGGCCAGGCTCTCCTCCTCATTATTCCAAACACTGTACTCCCTTCAGAAAAGAAGAAAACTGCCCTCCACCCCAGATTCTAAGTTTGGCCAATTAGCTATGACGCTGACCAGTTAGCTGTGTGACTTTCAGCAGATGCCTTCACCCTCTCTGAGCTTGATTTTCCTCATCTGAAGAATGGGTTGGTTGAGCCAGATGATTTTTAAAGACCTGTCCAGCCCTGCCGTCAGAGTGTTGGGACAGCCAGCCTCACTTCATCCTCAGAAACTTTGCTTGGGTTCATTCACATTTGGCCATTTTAATGAGAGAATGAAGCTTTGCAAATACATTTCCATTTTCTTACAGAAACTTCCTATGTTCTGGGTTCCTAGACAGAGATGTTGCTGTTGCCACTGGAGAACTAACTTGTCTTCCTGGTGGCCAGGATGCACATCTGACCACTGCCCTCTCCCCACTACCTGGCCTGTTTCCTCATGGGTGATACTTCACTCAGAAGCCAGACTACCAGTTGCTAGCCCCACATAGCTACAAAGCAGGGTACCAGGATTTTCTTTATGTCAAAGTTGCTGATGTATCACTGACGCCACAGGCCCTTTAAGGAACTGATTGAGAGAGGGACAAAAATTATTTATTTACAGCTGGGACATTGCAGACCCAGAGTGGCTGGGGAGGTATGGTCAGTAGGGCAGTATTAGGGGTAGAAATTGAGTCTAACCCTTTGGATCTCCAGTAGAAAAGTCCTAGAATACTTGCGATTTGCTCAAGATGTATCCTCATACAGGACTTATCACTGGTTTCTGCTGGGGGCCATTAATGAGGGCTTTTTCTCCCTCATTTGGCAGCTCCGAATGACCACTTGCTTTATAGCAACCGGTCTCAAATTTATTTCACCTTGGAGTCTCATGAGGACGCACTGCATGATGCAGAAATAGCATGTAAGCTCCGCCCAATGGGTTTTAAGGTGAGTGTGGGATGGGAGGGATGGGAAGGGGTTATATTGTAGACAGGAATTGGCAGGAAGAGCTGCTGCCCACAGTGGGGTGGAGGCATTAGAGGTCAAGCAGAGCTGGGAGAAAGCTTTGTAAAGGAGCTGAGGGTCCCTTGACAAAGGGTGACTTAGGTGTCTTCAAGGAAACTGGATTCTTCCCCGATTTGATCTTCAATTGATGACCAGTGCAGCAACATGGGCTTCGGAGCCTGACTATCTGAGTTTATGTCCCAGCTCTGCTACTTTTATAAGCTGTATGACCTTGGGAAAATTACTTAACCTTCCTGTGCCTCATCTTATCATCTGTAAAATGGGTATATTCAAAGGACCTACTTAACAGGGTTTGTCTTGGGGATTATATCAGCTAAAACATGTAAGATACTGAGAACAATACCTGGCACATAGCATTGTATAAGTGTTTGCTCTCATCATCATCACCATTATTTTCCAGGGACAGTAGAAAGAAGAGGATAAGAGGAGTATTGCTGGCTGGTTGTGCCATTTCGAGTCTTTAATATAGTCATTCAGCCTGCCAGTATCCACAAACATCTAGGTCACATAGAAGGGTGGGGGAAAAAGACAGGCTAAGCATCTCTCAGGATGCCAGGATGCAAAGTGTCACTTTTTGGCCTCAGGAACTGGCCCTCAGCCACATGTCAATATTTAGTTTAGAAGATAAGATTTGAACCTGGGCTTTACTTTTTCCAAGCTAAGTTACCATGGGGAAGTCACTTTACTCTCTGGGCCCCAAGAGTCCTTGTTTGCAAAATGAAGCTATTGCTATCTGTCCTGATCACCTCACAGGGATTCAGTGAGGGCCACAGGTGAGCATGGCCAAAGGTCCAATATGTGAGCTATAACACTTACTGGGTATTGGTGTAGTCCTCACTCTGTACAATCCTGGGATGCCTTTCTCAGACACTCAACTTACCAAAGTCCAGGCCCATGATCTCTTTATGAATTTCACGGGGCCAGATGTGTTCAGAGTCAAGAATGTTTCCAATTTCAGAAATATTTTATGTAAAATAACACCGTCAGAGAATTTTAGACAGTGCCTCATAATCAAACACACTAATATTTCTGCAGTGTATTTCATGACAATTCACGCTAAGTGGGATAAAGAATATAGTGCACTTTATATCATTTAAGTCAGGCTTTGCCACCTTATGACTTTTAATGTCAAGCTTATGAAAGTAACAGATTGTCAAACTTTTATTTTGGATCTGGGAACTTCAGATAAAACATACAGTGCCATTAATGTCAAAGTGAATCTTATATTTCCTTTCATGAGAAGGTTTTCATGGGTGATGGATTAGCATGTTCTCTTTGCCAAGGAACACATTTACAGGTTACTAAAAGTCACCAATGTCTTAACCCAAAGGAGCTCCAGTAGGAGCATTTCAGACCTGTAGCAGCACAGGTCAGGAAGCTTCCCAGGGGTAAGAGCACTTGCAACTTTTTCTACTCTTATCCTTGCTAGGGCCTAAGGGTTGGGGTCTGGATAGTGCATTTGGAAACAGGGCTGAGTAAGCAGTGGACCCTTTGGGATGAACTGGGAAAAGTAACTTCCCCAGTGGAGGAGAAGTTGATGGAAGTATTAAACAGGAGTTTCAGTTCCCCACAGGTAAGCAGAAAGGCTTCCCTCTCTGCCCCTGGTTAGCCCTCTGAAGGGCAGTCTACTTTGTCAGGTAGAACTCTCTGGGGGTCCTAGACCACAGTTTTAGTTCCAGCTTTGTTGTTGAGGTCTTGGACAGGTGACATCCCTTCCTTTGGGTGTCTTCTGAAAAATGATCAGTAAGTGTAGGTGGTCATTCAAGCCAGTAATGTAGACTAGGCCTCTGCTTGACACACTAGTTAGTAGGAAGATATATTTGGGCAGGTCCCAAAAGCTGGTTAGCATGTGTTGAAATCATTGTTCTTGCTATTTGTTGATCACTTCAGTACAATGGTGGGGCCATGGGGTTGTGGAGTGGAGGGAGTACTGCCCAGTGGTTAAAAATTTGGACTTTGGTGTCAGTCAGTCCCAGGGTCAAACCCTCATTCCAAAATTTATCAGCTGTGTTATTTTGGGCAAGTCACTTTTCTGGGTTTTAGTTTTATTTTCTTTAAAATGGGCTTCAGAACAGTTGCCTACATTGTAGGGTTTGTATGTAAGATAATCCTTTGAAATGCTTTAGGCAATAGTGAATGCTCATGAAGTTTTTATCTAGTGTTAAGAAGAGTGGTATCAAGAAGATGAATAAGAATGGGATTGAATGCTAACATTTTCTTCCAGGCACACTTCAGAAAAGCACAAGCCTTAGCCACCCTAGGCAAGGTGGAAGAAGCACTAAGGGAATTTCTATACTGTGTGTCCCTGGATGGAAAGAACAAAAGAGCAAGATCTGAAGCCCAAAGGGTGAGTTGAGACGACTTCAGGTCCAGCTGCCCAGTGGGCTCCCATCTCACTGTCTTCTCCAGGAAGGGGAGTGAGGGAACTTCCTTCCAGTGCATTTGGGGTCTTGAGTGGGTGGCTCCCTGGGTTATGGGTACAGAAGTGAGATGCAAGTGCCAACTGATTGCTCCCAAATGACCCTCCTCTCGATGTTTACAATTAGATTGACCAATTGTTGCATTTCTGTAGGAGTCTATGAGGAACATTCTTGCTTCTTTGACTCAGGGTTTGGGTTTTTGGTGGGACAAAAAACAAGATAAAATAAATCCAAACCAGTTAACATGGGGATGGAAGCTCACTGAGGAGATTCTACCTGTTGACAGGAGGTCACGGGTGTGGGGCTATCTGCACTGTTACTTTGACCGAGTCATAGCTTCACCAGCCACACCGGGAAGCCAGCTCCTCAGAAAGGATGCTGGTCCCCATCTCCCTTGCCATATGCACAACCTCAACCTTCAGCTCCTTTGCTAGAAATAAAACACATACCCTATCTCACAAATATAAGTCAGGGACCATTACAATATACAGTGGTGTAGTTAATTCATTCCAAAACTCTTGACAAGTGCCAAAACTGACAAGTACCATATGATAAAGCATTTTCTCTTGCCGGGTGACATCATGACTCACACAAGTGCAGTAAGTCCCAAGCAAGAGCTGGTGCTGAAACATTTTTTTCCTTGTCAAAATGTGGTGAGTACAGGGTTTGATGAGTTCTGAAGACAGTGAGTACCGAGGTATGATTGTAATCCAAACATTACAACTCTGGACTCCCAGGAGAAATTGGTTATTTGAAAAAGCTGCATGAAATACTGAGAGTATTAGTGAAGGCTCAAGCATCCTCCCTTCACAGACTTTGTTGCTTACTGTTCTGCAATGTGCTCTCAGTGTGTCTGGCTAATTGACCTGAAGTTGGATGCTAACAGTCAGTGGTGGCCTCTGTTCTCCTTATTCCCCACCTCAAATTTACCACCACACCACAAGTGCTTCTGTTTCAGTGTGGTTTGGCAGAGCAGCAGATGAAGAAAGGCAGCAAGAGACAGGACTGGTCTCCTGAAGGCTCCAGAAATGAACCTTTAGCAAAATCAATGAACAAAGGAAAGCGGGGCTCTGGATGTTCTGTCTCTGACAGATTTCTCTCCTGGGGAGTTGCTTTGACCTGATTTGGGAATGTGGACAGTGTGTTCTTCAGAGAAACACTGGTGAATCCTCCAAGCTGTGGGCCCTTCCCCAAATCTTAAGTGCAGTCCATGGAGTGGATGATAATAACAGCAGCTAACATTTATTGAGCATTTCCTATGCACTAGGCACTGTACTAGGGCCTCTCTGTGGAAGATATAATGTAATCCCTACAACATCTCTATAGGAGTAGGTACTATTATTTATCTGCATGTTACAGATGAGATGGAGGAGGATGCTGAGTGACTTTCCCAAGGTCATCAGCTAGTGATTGGTGGATGAGCATTCAAACCCAACTTCATCTGCTCCCAGAGTCTGTCTTCTAGCCGCTTCACCATCGTGCTGTTCTGGGAGGGCACTCGAGGAGTCTCAGCATTCATTGCTGGTGTTGGGCAAGAGTAGCAATGGGACCATCCAGTTCTGGAGTGGCTGGACAGAGGCAGTTAGAAAAACCTTCACTTTGGGGACAGAGTGTGCTAAGGCCAAGAGAGGCAGGAGTTGGATTCAAGGATAAGAGGCATAAACCACAGTATTAGTCCTCAAGGACCTTACAGTCCTGAATGTGTTACTCAATGCAATATCAATGTCAAATAATATGAATGTATGCTCGTAATGAGTGTGCTGGAGCTCTGAAGCTGGGGCATGAATTTAGAGGCAAATATCCACTGAGTGTGAAAAGGGCATGACAGCCATTTAAGAATACTGGGGGCCCTCAGCACTGCTTATCTACTGGATTGTTCCATTTTCAGATTTGACAGAGATGGTCCAGGTTCACTTGGCATTATTAGTTACCTTAGACACTCACAGACCTCAGATTCTCTTTTCCCCCTTCTTGACCCATTTGAGCCTTTTTAGGGCTGACACTGAAGTGGGTTTGACTTTCACTTATGTGGGATGATTATTCTCACTGACAGTTGACCCCAACTTTTGTTTTCCAAAGCCATTGGGAAATCCTAGAATGAGATCTTAGGCAGTAAAGGGAAGAAGCAAAGTTCTGCTGTTGTTTCTGCCTCACTCCCTCTCACCACACTCTGCCCTTTTTATCCTCATACGTTAAAATGGTGTGTGCCTGCCAGTGAAGAGCATCATGCTATTTTGGGGAGAATGTGAGAGAGATTGCTTTAGAAATCTAGGGTTGATCCTGTTGGGCCACTCAGGAGGGCTTCCAAGAGCCAAATTTGGCTTCTGTGGAGGACAGGTCCTGAAAGGTGGCATTTATGGCCGTGGGCACTGTAAGTGCCTCCTTACCTCACTCTGTTACCAACTTAGACGTAAGAAGCAGGTTTCCCAGAAATGGAAGGAAACAGATCTGTCTAAGGACTTTGGGCCTGAACCCAAGGCCCCTCCCTGGGCCCTGGGTTGGATAAGTGTCTTAGTTCAATTCCATCCAGTGTGATGGTTATCTGTTGGACATCTATCATGTGACCTCTAGAAGCTGCCCATTTGGTTAGAGAGAGAGACATCTGTGATATAATTTGAGGCTGACACAAGACTATGTAGTGTAAGGTGCTATACTGTGGTTCAGTGGATAACATGAAAGGACAGGTGACATCAGGGAGGCTGGAGTAGTAGGGAAAGGCAGCATTGGAATTGAGCCTTGAAGGCTGCGCAGGGTTTGGTTATGTGGTAAGTTCTGGCTGGCATCTGGAGGAAGATCATGAAGGAACAGTGAGGGGCCAGCAAGGGAACAAATCAAACTGGAGGCAGTTTGGTCAGAATTTCTGTCAGGTTTCCTCCATCAGTTAACACCCTGACTATGTACCCTGACTGAGCAATGGGTGAAGCATCCTTTAGTGGATCTCCAACCACTGCAGGGGCCTCTCAGTCGTAAATACTTGACTGTTTTAGAAGCCAAGTGACCTATCCCTTGTTATATACATGTGTATTCACAATCCTTGTTGGCACAGGGGCAAATTGAGGCAAGAATGTGGGCAGCCAATGATGCAGTCTGCACTAGAACATCCATCGCTGACTCCCAGTCCCTTCTGGACCTTCTCACCCAACAGGTTTATGCAATCGCAAGGGAACCAGCCATACACTGGAACTTGTCTGCCCCAGTACTAGTGTTTGAAGTTACTTGACTTTCTCTGAAAAGTGAAGGTCAGAATAGAGGAGGAGAGGCTGGGAAAAGAGGGAGGAAGGTTGGTTTCTGCTTTTTCTAACACATCAATGTGGAAGGGATTAAAGATCCAGGGATGATGGTTTGGGAAGAAGGGAGCGAAATGGGCAGGCAAAGGAAAGAAATATTGGAACCTACCCTGGCTGGTGTGGCTCAGTGGATTGGGTGCCGGCCTGTGAAGCGAAAGGTTGCTGGTTTGATTCCCTGTCAGGGCACATGCCTGGGTTGTGGGCCAGGTCCCCAGCTATGGGTGTGCAAGAGGCAACCGAATGATATTTCTCTCACAGGTTTCCTTCTCTTTCTCTCTCTAAAATTAAATAAATAAAATCTAAAAAAAGAGAAATATCAGAATCTAGAAGACAGTTGTAGATTTTTACCCACTGGGGTATTACAAACATGATTCTAGGTCCCCCGGGTGATGTTTGTCTCCTGCCTTCACCTTTTTGTCTCTTTTCTCCAACATAGGTTTTTAAATCCTATGCAGATATGTCTATGTAATGGTAGCACTGGGGTGATAGTTCTTAAGTTTGACTAGTGTGACAGAAGCATCTGTGATGCCTTTTCAAAATGCAGATTCCCGGGCCACGCTTCAGACCTGGGGAGCCAGGCATGGGAACGTGGAGTCTGGACTTTTAATAAGCTCCTGAGTGATTCTGATGCACATTGAAGTGAGGCCTCCTGCCCCGATCTGCCCTGGTCTGTCTGGTCCAAGGCTTCCCCCCGGAGTTTTGGCCTGCAAACTTTGCTCCCTGCCCCTTCCTAACCCTCCCCCTTCACCTGAGCCCCTGTAGAAACTTAAGTAGTGAAGTCTTCTGTTTTATGTCACAGCTTCTCCTTAGTTTCTTTTCACCATCAGTCCCGGGGGATTCTCAGGAACATTCTCCCGATATCCTGAAGCTGTTGGCACCTCACCCTAGATTAAAGGAACACGTAGAGTCAATGGCTACTGAAGGCGCCAGCCATAATCTACCAAAGTTGTCACAGGTAAAATTCGACTCACCCAGCTCGTTTGTGACGCTTCGTTTGGCTGTTTTGTGGGCAAACTGGGGGAGTGTGCCCTACCTCTCCTACTTTAGTTCCTGAGAAAGAAGAAGTGGAGTTGCTATTGGTTATGTTCTTTGTTAGGTTACTTCTTAAAGATAAAATGGGATTTCAAACATGGTCCCAGCGCTTATGAGTTGTTGCATTTATTTTTCAGTTCTTGATTAGATCTAGCTGAGAGAATTGACAGAACTAGAAAGGAATTGGTCCACTTCTGTTGGAGCCATTCAATGATGTAGCTCTATCAGCCTAGGCGGGGAGCCTGGGAAGAAGGCCTGACAGTTCCCCCTTTCCTGCTTTTTGTTTGTTCAACCTGCTGGTCTTTGAACACTGGCTGATTTCCTCATATAAAGACAACTGCATTTGATTCCCAGGTGGAGGTAATTCCCTATTTCTGCCACATGTTTTACACATAAGTAGACTTTGGTATATATTTGAGGCTGAGAAGAGGAAAGCGATTTGGGAAGGGTTAATTTCCTGGAAGGAAGACAGGTATTTGTGCCTTTCTTTGAAATCAAAGGAACAGGACCATGGAGTGATGGGCTCTAGGCCCTGCCTTTCTCAGCAGAGGGCACGTGGGCAGCAGCTGGGGTGCAGACTTGAAGGCAGAGTTTAGTGCTAACTACCTCAACACCTTGGGGCCGCAGTCCCTACTTTGCTTGTGCCCTGTGTCTTCCCCTGTAGAGAAGCCCTGAGATCTCTGTGGCTTCTTGGTTCTCTGGCAGGTGGAAACCTTACATTTTCCCAGCTTCTCTCCCTGATCAGGAGAAGGAATAAAATGCAGGTGTGAGCAACTCAAAAAGGGGGCGGCAGATCTCAAAGAGTATCTCCTGAAGTCAGAGAAGCCCTAGTGCATTTCAATAATTATTTGAGGTCAAGATTACATGATTGAGAACACTAACACTGAAGCAAAGTGCCTGGAGTGACTTCTAGTAACGAACTATGGAAATGATCCCTCAAAGTATAGTCTTTGGAGTGACTTCTAATTGTAGCTCAATCGAAATGAAGAAAAAGTGCACCCCTGGCTCTCTAGTGAGAGCCAGCTGGGGAACAGGAACAGGGTTCCCACCCAAATTGTGCTTTGCAAAGCAATGTCCTCCTGTGTAGACAGTGCTTGGGGCTCATGAAAGTTGAGAAGACAGCATTGTTATGGTCCTGGAAAAAAAAAAAAGAAAACCCATGAACTCCCCAGGTTAGAGACTGAGAAGCCTTTTTCTCCTCACCTCATTGTTTTCTCTCAACCTTATGGCTCTCGTTGTTCATCTGTCTACCAATTTTTTGGCAGGGGTTGGAAGGGAAAAAAGAACATGGGCATTTGTACCTGTAGGCTATGGGTTTAGAATAGAGAGGGGTTCTCCAGGGAAATCCACATAAACACTTTGTCACTGCATTTATTTCTAGATCCATTTTCAAATATCCCTCTCCTGAACAAACATTCTTTAAGATGCTAGAGACATTCTTGATCATTTGGCCCAATGATTTTGTCTCTTTTTCATATTTCTTCCTCAAAATCTAGTAAAGGAGTAGTTTGGCCCTAGTTCATTTGACCAGTATAAGATACAGCTCTGGAGCATGAGGTAACTCTGCAGGCCTATGGACACACCTGTACCAAAACCTTACTGAAAGTCCTTTTGGAGCTGGGCTGTGGGGCTTGCAGCTAGCCTAGAATGGCAGTGAGATGAGAAGAAGCACTGAGTAACAGGGTCTACCCTCACTGCATGTCTTGCTTTCCCTAATGTTAGTAACTGGGGGGTGATCTGGATAGGAGAGGAGACTGGTGCTATATCTTACATTTCTCCCCTTCACCACTGCCCAAGGAATCTCTCCCCTACATGCTTTTCTGTCCTTGCCTAGGGAAATCCCCCAACTCCACCCAAGCTGGGCATGCCTTTGTCATTGATGATATGTGGGCAGAAGTGGGAAATATGCCTCATGACTGCCCTCCCCAGTTAAGCTATGTGTCCACTAAATGATCAGAGTTGTGTGGTTCTCTCTCTGTCCCTTGTGGTACAATATGAGAACATGGCATTGGTTCTTAGTAGATTCTGATGTTTGGCTCTTTCTTCCTCCAGGAAAATCCGGAGCTCCCACATTGTTCTAGTCAGGAGGAAACAGCAGCCACTGGGGGCTCCAAGAGCCTGATGAACCCAGCAAAAGTAAAGGAAGATGGGCAACAAGGTAACATGAGAGACCAGGGAGAAGAAGAGGAGAAGGGGGTCTCTGCCTTCCCAGAAACTGCCTCCATCAAGACTGGCAAATGCCAGGAAAAGAAAAGGAAACACTGTCAAGTTGAACCCCAAGACCCAGGGGTGCCTAATAAAGCCTCTAAGCCAGGTATGGACTCTACCCTGGGAAAAGGGGCTTGGAGGAGATGCCTGGGTTCCCCAATATATACAAGTTACTTGCTCTCCATATGAGGACTCCCGAGGCTCTGGGTGCGGAGCCTTGCTCTGGCACTTAGCTGTGGCACCTCAGTGATTACTATGAAGTTTCCGTGAGAGCATGCGTAGTTCCCAGTGTACTGCCAGTGCTCAAGAATAATTATAATGGAAAGCCAAAGCATAAGGTCAAGCACAGTCTCAAGTAATGATATCCAATTCCCTTTATGGTGTCACTTCTGCCAGGCCAACCTCTACCTAACCCCATCCCTGTTCCAGGAATGAAGGACCAGCCGTATGATCAGGCTACACTCTGCCCATTCTCAGTTGTGCTTCTGTAGGTAGGCATCTGAGAAGCAGCAGCTGCAGCTCAGTAGCTTTCCAAGAGAGGTGGACAGTGCCAAGATTCAGTATCAGCTTTGAAGGCCTGGCTCTGTCCATGGAGTTGCCGCTGTTGCTCCTGCTGTATGAGATGCCTGTTGTACTTGAATGAAGTCTCCAGGGCTCCTGGATTTTCCCTGACTTGCACTTCTCTTTCTATGGGGCTGCTGGACACTTCAAGAGTCTACTTCAGGGTATCCCATTCTCAGTGGGTCAGGTGGCCACTAAATCAACTCTAGAAGGGAATGAGAGTGGAAACTGAAAAAGTAATTGGGTTCTTTAGCCTCAGAAGTACAGTCTGTGAAACCAAGGTTGGTCCAGTTCTGACTTACTGCTTTCTAAATCACAGATCCTCCCACAGATATGGGGACCAAACCTGCTCTCAGTGTTCCCCTCGCATCTTTTGACGCATCTGACCTTGAATGCTCCCTATGTATGAGGTATGTGAAGTGTGCTTTCACTTACTGCCTGAGCAATCTTCCTTGCTGGTGTGTGGATCTTTCCGCTAGTGACCCACTGCTCCATTGGTTAGCACATAAAACCGTGGATCTAGCAAAATAGAGGTTACATTAATTGTCACATGGACTAGCTTGTGTCTTCTATTTACAGATTGCACTCCCTGTACTCCTGACTTGGAAATATCTAGAGAGTGGGAAGGAAACAATCTACTCAGAGGTCACAAACTGGTGGCCTGTAGGCCGAATGTCTTGTGTTTGGTATCCATGGGGCTTTTTGTCGTTGTTAAATGCTAATGTCTTGAGACAGGCCAAGCATTCTCCAGCTGGTCATGGTCCCTTCCTCCCTCACTGCCTTACATTTGCCTGCATCTCACATTTGCATCACTTTTCTGGCCTTTGTAGCTATCTAGATTGTGAGCCTGAAACTAATGTCAACACTGGATCAAGATCTCAAAGCTCAAGGCCTAATGTCAATGCCATAGGTCTATTCTTTGGAAGCAAAGTAAAGGGCCTGTGTAGTGTTTGTTCTGTGCCATGAAAAGGATTAATAGTAAGCCTGTACTGCTTGGCCAAGCATTCTTCCTTCACCTAGTGCCTTGTTATCTCTGCTTTCTCAGATCTCTTAGGAGGCAAATTATCCAAATGCCTCCCTGCCCCTGACAAAGGAAGCTGCCACAATCATGGTCTGTGGGTTGGGGGGGCAGGGGAATACTTTCTTTTTTTTTTATTTCACAGCTGTGACTTTGTGGCTAAGAGGAGGAGCTCCAAAGCCAAATGGCCTGGGTTTGAACCCTGGCTCTGACACTTATTGGCTGTTTGACCCAGAGCATATGACTCCCTGTACCACTGTTTTCTCATCAATAAAATAGAGAACAATAGTCCCTATCCTATAGGGTGGTTATGATTAAAATCTACATAAAACACTTAGCACAGTGTCTAACACAGAGTAAGTACTCAATAAATGTTAATTACTTTTTTCTCTTAGACCAAAGTTTCCTTAGTTTAGGTCCATGAGGCGGTTCCATGTATACATTCTAATGGATTTATGGATTCCCTGATGTTGTATGTAAAAGTGTGTGTGCATGTGTGTGTTTCCAGGACAAGGTCTACAGCTTTCAATAAATTCTCAAATCTGTCTTTTTTCCAAAAGAGCATAAAAGGAGGCTGAGATATTTGCACAAAAGTTGCTCAGATGGTTGAAGCAAGAGAAGATATGTCAAGAATAAAATCTTTTGATCCATCACACAGTAAGATCCAGCCAGCAGAAGATCCTCATATGTTTTCTTGCCTTTTAGAAGCCTTACATATCAATCACATCCATTTGTATTCAGAATGGCTTTTCTTGCCATCCTGAACAAAAATGAGCAAGGCAGCCATTACCTGAACATGTACCTTTTATTTCTCTTAAAAGAATTAGAGTTGGCAGATTTGCTCATGAGCTCAGGCAGATGTGATAATGAACAGTTTGACAGATGGGATACAGAAGCACTCAAGGAAAGCCTTCCATATACTGTTGGGAGTTTGTTTCCTTTTACCACCTTCCTCTCCTCCACAACAAAGTGGCAGGTGGGTCATGACAGAGCCAAAGTATGGGATAGAGAAACTGCTTCCCAACGTAGAAGTGGGCTTCCACAGGTAATGCCCCAGTGGCTCTAAGCCTGTGATATGAGCTGTGGGCTTTCACATGTCAATCTTTGGGAGACTTGACTCAGCTTGCTCAGAAAGCCCAACTCCTTGGTGTACTTACCCCTTCTCCCAGCATCCAGGGGACACAAAATCAAAAACACAGACTCATCCTGTTTGTGTTTTCCCTGAGGACTAAGAATCCTGAGGTTGAAGTTCTTTTGTTCCCTTTCCTCTGTGTTCTCCCTTTCATCTTGTTTGTCCCTGGTCTCAACAGGGGGCTTCAGAGAAGGGTTAGAAATCTGATCCAAGAAATAAACACCAAGATAAGACCCCTTTTAGTTTGCTTGCTCTGACTTTAAAAGCCATTATTTCCCTAATCCTTCCCCTCTGTTCTGAGACTTCAAAACAAAAAGCCAAGTTTGTCTGGAGTAGCTGTTGTATAGGTCGGGAAGCTACAGGAGGACCCTAACTGCTTTGTGGCAAAAAAGAAATCTGTCCAGTTCAGAAAGCAATAATTAGTGGCTGCATTCATGAGGAAGTTTCCAGTCTCCAGCTCTCCCTCTGCTGGGGAGGTTTCTTCATAATTCCAACACCTCAGAACTCTGCCCCTCAGTCTTTAGTGACAGAAAATCCTCCTTTGAGATTTACCTAATGTGGATACCCTAACCATTGGGGGTTGCCTCTGGGGCTGCTGTGGAGAAGCACCGTTAGGGTGACAAGGACATTTTGAGATACGGAGCAAGAATGTTTGATATCTGAACCAGTTACCTAATGACCCAGTGACCTCTCTGTCAATTAAAACAAAAAGCTTTGTATTTAACCTAGGTTTAGCTACTCGACTACCTGAGTGTTAAGGAGTCAGTTCATTCTGTTCTATTCCATTCTCTCTCCCTCCTTCTCTGTCCCTCTTTGCTGTCATTTGATAGCAGCAGAGGAACATAATACAAGGATGTAACTGGTGGGAAGAGATAGCTATTTTCAGATAAACTAAACATTTTATACAGACCGACATCTAACTGAAAACACTTATTATTACTATTGTTTAATCCCTCATGTGACAAGGTAAAATGTCTTCTTGTGGAAAAATCTGGCCCTACTCTGATTTATAAATATCTCCCTGAAGTGTTTCTGAAATCATTGTCAAAAGTGGTAAATAAAAGGTAGAAGAATTCAAGAGTATAGCTGTATCTAGCTCTGTCTGTCCGTCTATCTATCCATCTATCTTATTCATCCATTTACCTGTCCAGAGTTCTCTCTCAGGGGAGGGGAGAAAGGAGGGAAGGAAACAGAGATGGAGGGAAGGAAACAGAGATGGAGGGAGAAAAGTGTATACTTCTACATGCACATGGATTATGTCTGTTCTAGAGAGAGATGTATACACAGTCATGGTTATGTCATATGTTGGAGAAGGAAGATAGGGTTGGGAATTAGATGTGACATCATGTTCAAACCCTAGCTGTCCATGTGACCTTGGGCAAGTTATTTAACCTGTCTGGGTCTTAATTTCCTCAGTAGTAAAATGGAGCTAATAACAATTACTGCCTATTAATATATAAACTTAATTGATGTAAAAAACAGTATTACACACACCCAGAATAGCAAGAGAAATATATTCCATCTGTTCCTAATCACTTTACTCAGTCAGCCTTTGTAATACGGTCACCCTGAACATAGAAGTGAATTGCATATTGAAAGGTGATATATTCTAAGCATTTGAACATAGAGTTATTTCAAAGCAATAATTATGCACCATCTGTGGCATAACTTTTGTGTTGTGACCACGCAGATCAGGAGCACTTTAATCATAACCCTTACAAAGAGTTGCTGTATCCTTTTGTGTCTGTTTCACTTGTCTGCTCATTAAATGCCAGTAGTTATTGCAGTTAATTAACCAGCTATATCATTGTCATTTTATGTGGATTACATTGTTAAATGAACTAAAGACCCAATTCTGAAATTCTCAGGCAAAATAATTTTGCATATACAGACTCCTCAATCATCTTCATCATTAGCCTCATTGAATAATGTAAAGCATTCAGATTCATGAGACCAACATGACTGAGAAAGTGAGATATTTTGGTTTGGCTGCTCTAGTACTTAGCTCAGAGAGTGGTTCCTCGGTCAGCCTGAAAATTACACTTTTCAACAACATTTTATTTTTGAAATTTGCATGGTGGAAAATACATAAAATATAAATGTATTCTCTTAACAAAATATGGTAAAGAGGACACTCATGCAACCCCTCTCAGTTCAAGAAATAAGTGTCAGCACTATAGAAGCTGTCCAGATGCCACTGTCAAATCATGACTCCCTCACCCTTCTCCTGAAACCGCTATCTTAACTTCTGTCTCTTCTTTTAAAAAATAGTTTTACCACCCATGTATGCATCTCTAAACAGTGTAATTTAGTTTTGTCTGTATTTTTAAATCCCTTATGTAAATGGAATTATCTAGAATGTATTTTTTTATTCTGGCTTCTTTTCCTCAGTATTAAGATTTATCCATGTTATTGCAGGTAGGTGATGGCTGTTCATTTTTATTAGTGTACATATAGTGTCCCATTGTATGAATCTACCACAATTATTAGTTCTATAATAGATGGATATTTCGGCATTTTCTAGTTTGGGACTATTATGGTATGACCAGTTTTTATGTATACCAGTGCATATACATCTTTGCCCATTTCCGATTAGGTTCTCTCTCTTTTTCTTACTTACTTGCAGGAACTCTATGTATGTTCTAGATACAAGTATTTTATTAGTCATTGGTGCTGCAAGCACCCTCTCTCACTCTGGCTTGTCTTTTTGCTCTCTTAATGGCATCTTTTCATGACCTTATAAGTTCTTAATTTTAATGAAGTAAAAATTACCAATCTTTTCATTTAGAATTAGTATTTTTTGTATTATGTCTTGTTTAAGAAATATTTTTTCTAAGAAACGAACAGAGACAAGAGGGATGGAGGGAGGCGGGGACAGGGGAAAAGGAAGGGAATGGGAGGGTCGGGGAACGTGTAGCAAGGTCTCATGGACAAAACCAAAGGGGAAGGATTGAGGGAGGGAGGGGGGAGGGGCAAGGGAAGGTGGTGGGGGGAAGGCAGAGACAAATGTATTTGAAAAAATAAGGAAAATAAATTAAAAAAATATTTTTTCTAAACCTTGAGGTCATAAAGATATTCTGTTTATCTTCTAAAAGCTTTACTGTTTGCTTTTCACACTTATTGTTACAGCCCACATGGAAATGGTTTTTGTGTATGGTGTGAGAGATGGTTTAACTCCATTTCCCTCTGTGGATAACCAATTATCCCAAATAGCATTTATTGTACTCGCTTCAGCAGCATATATACCAACTAGCATTTATTGAGAATGCTATTTATGTACTGAAAATCCCCCTTCTGTTTTGAAATGCCACATTTGTCATAAATCAAGAATCTGTGTCTGGATCTATTTCTGGGCTTTCTATTCTATTCCACAGATTTATGTGTCCTTGTGCTAGTCCTATACTGTTTTAATCACTACAGCTTTATAAGTTCTGACATCTGGTAGGGCAAGTCCTCCCACATTGTTGCTCTTCAGAAGGGTCTTCGCTCTTCTTGGTCCTTTGCCTTGCCTTATAAAGTATAGAAATCAACTTGTTCCACAAAAACAAACAAACAAACAAACAAAGTGAAATAACCTGTGGGATTTGTATTGGTGCTTATTTAGATCTTCTTTAGTTTCTTTCAAAGAAGTGTTTATATTGTTTCCAATAGGTGTCTTGTACAACTTTTGTTAGATTTATTCTTGGGTACTTGATTTTTAAAAGCAATTGTAAATGTCATATTTAAAAATCTATTTTCTCATTTTTGTTGCTGATATGTAGAACAGTGTTGTCCATGTAGTTTTCTAGCAACCTTGCTCATTATATCAACTCTTATTAATTCTAGTAATCATTAGGTAGACTTTTTTAGATTTTCTAAGTTCACCATCATACTATTTGTGAATAATGACAGATTTGGTTTTTTTCTTCCCAGTCCTCAAACTTTGATTTATTTTTCTTCTTGCCTTACTGAATTGGTTAGGACCTCCATCATAAAGAGGTTATTTTGAAAATTAATTTTACTTTTTGGCCAATTTAATAACTAAAATGTATTAATTAAGTTAGCTACTTTTAAAACAGGATTGTAACATTCAAAAAGTAGAAAAAAGTGAATATACAAAAAGTCTCGTTTCTACTCCAGACCTTCATAGGCTTATTAAAAATATCAAATCACTGTCCCTCCCCTTGACCTGCTGACTGACAAACTTTATCCAGTGGAGCTTTGCCATGTTTACATTTTTAAAGACCCATAGGTGGCAGAAGGTTCACCTCTGCAGAGATTAGTAGGAGTGTGTAATACAGTGATTCTGAACTCTAGTTGCACATTAAAACTACCCGAGGAGCTTTAAAAAGTCTGATTCCTGGCCCTTACCCTGAACCAACTGATCTGAATCTCTGCAGGTGTGGTCCTGGGCATGTGTAGTTTTTAGAAGTCCCCCAGGTGATGGGGAGGGGAGGATGAGGGTAATCGATATGTTCACAATCTTGATTGTAGAGATGGTTTCATAGGTGTGTGCATATGTTACAACTTATCAAACTGTACACTTTAAGTATATGCAGTTTATTGCACATCAATTATATGTCAATAAAGCTGTTCAAACAAAAAGCTCCCCAGTCGATTCTCATGCACAGCAATGGTTGAGAATCGTTGTTCTAATAGAAAGAACACATGACTGGAAGTGGAAGTTGGAGAGCCTTTCTTGGGCAACAGTTGGCTGTGTACACGTAGACAAGCAACTGAATCCTCTTTAGACCTCAGCTTCATTCTGGTTGGTGAGTCTATTTTCTCAAGTACTTTTCAGCTCTGGTATTTTGATTCCTCTGTTCAGCCTGACAGTGTGGGCCAGGCTGCTGATGCACCTCACAGCCAAAACCACATGAAGGGGCTGAGCAGCTGGCAGCCTCTTCTCTCAACTGATGCTCTTGTGAGGTCAAAAGAGTCTGGGCAGGGTATTTCCCTCCTTTCTGTCCTCTTGGTGAGCAGGAGCCCCACTTCTACACCATCATTTTCAGCTACCCCAACCCAGTGGTTCTGCTACAAGTAAGCCTTTCTTTAAGCAAAGTAAATCATGAATCTCTCAATGTACAGAATAGCTTTTAAAAAGACCCCCAGCCTGACTGGTGTGGCTCAGTGGATTGAGTGCCAGCCTGAGAACCAAAGAGTTGCCGGTTTGATTCCCAGTGAGGGCACATGCCTGGATTGAGGGCCAGGTCCCCAGTAGGGGGTGCACGAGAGGCAACCACACATTGCTGTTTCTCTCCCTCTTTCCCTCTCCCTTCTCCTCTCTCTAAAAATAAATAAATAAAATCTTAAAAAAGATCCCCAAATTACTCTGAAAAAATATCCAGCACCCACAAAACAATTTAAATAGAATTTAATTGAAATATATATATATATATGCATACATATGTATGTATCTATTAGTAAGCATGTTAATATTACCCTACTGCCCCTAGAACAATGATTCTTCTATATAAAAGGCAGTTACATCGATATGTTTGTTACAGGTGCAATTTCAAGATCCTTCAGGGAGTAAACATTGCTTAGGTAAAAAACAGAGTCAAGGTTAGCAAAGAAAGCAAGTCTTTTTCCATTGTAATGTGACATAAAGTACTTAAATGGGCAAGCATATGAATGTGTGTGTTTATCTATCTGTGTGTTTACGTATACTCAGGTGAAGAGGTTGGCTACATACTTTAGAACAGAAGAATCTATTCAGACACCCTGGGTATTTATCTCTAGACAGTGAAAAAAAATCTGGATGTCCCAGAAGAGACAGACTAGAACTAATATTATAAAATGATCTAGCTATGTCCTAAACTGTAATAAATGAATTCTCTTATGATTCAGTTCAGAAATAAAAAGCAAATGCTTTTCTGAAGTGCATGGATTAAGGAAAAAAAAGAACTCCCCCCCCAACACAGAGAATTTTCCTGATAATACCATAAACCTTAACATTCAGTAGCCCTGTCTTTTACTTTTGGTCTTATTGCAATTTTCTTCTATTTTGATTTTTAAATTTCAGATTATTCTATGAGCCAGTCACAACACCTTGTGGACACACATTTTGCTTAAAATGCCTTGAAAGATGCCTAGATCACAACGCAAAGTGTCCACTGTGCAAAGATGGTCTTTCACAGGTAAGACATTGTTTCTTTCATGGTTGACTTAGCTTATTTGGAATTGGGTACTTAACAGAGTGTCCTATTGGATCCCAAGCCACTGCACTTTTCTAGGGCAAAATACCCACTAAGACCATCTACCTCTTTCACCTGACTTATAGCTACCCCTCCCCTTTCAACAAAGTGTTCAGGAAAATTAAGCAACATCCAGCTTTTTATGAACTGTTAGTAAGGAAATTAATTTATGTTGGAAACAAAAGTATTACATTGATGATAAACATGGATCCTGGGTATAATCCCATAATGGCACCTGATTCATTGTAATGTTGAGTCAATCTTGTATTCTCTCTGGGCTTGGACTAGACCAGCCCTGGTGTCCCCTTATTGTCAGTGTTAATTCTGTGGTTTGACGAGGTCATTCCCATGGCTGCAGAAACCTCACAGATATTCAGTGTGGTCCTTGTTCTGCCCCTCAGAAGCCATTGTACTTATTAGCAGATCCTTGGCTACTTGAAAAGCTCTGGGGCTTCCAGGTCCTTTAAAATGAATCACACAGATTACCACCTTGGTTTTTTCAAGTGGACCTGATAGAATTTTCTTTAGCACAAGAAGTCCATCTTGTTTTCCCTCCCTCAGGAACTTGTGTGCCACTTTTTACAATCAGTATTAATGTTGCTTGACCCCTGTCATCCCTGAGGAGAGGTTGGAGACACAAGACCATTTCTAGGTGAATGGAGGTCCAGAGAAGTCATATGTTGAGCTTCCCCAACACTATATCATTTAAACTAAGGGAATGGAGTGAAATAATCATCCAGGATAACTCTGACAGTTAGCATTGGGTTAAGGGGAAGGTCAGTGTCATACCTTGCCTAGGTAACGGAGTGAGATTTGCTGCACTGATTGAATGTGAAAAGCCTACAGTCCTCATACTTAAATAATGCATTTGTATTATGGTAACACTGCAACATTCAGATAAACAGAAAAAAGGAAAGTCTACCATTATGTTCATTACCTAGAGAAAACCACCATTAACAGTTTAGTATGTGCCTTTGCTGGGTTTTTGTTTTAGAGTCAGCAGAAGACTCACCTCCTTGTTGAGTTGTTGCTTTTCCCCAAGACTGGGACTGGGTAAAGCAGTTGGTTTTCCTGCAGCCACACAATGGTAGTGGCTTATAAGGTATCCTGGAGGCAGATGCTGTGGAGTCCCAGATTTAGGAGCTATAGAAGATATCCTCATATATCTCTTTGTATTCACACAGGGTCACACTTACACCATTTCCCAGAGAGATAAATATCTTATGCCAATCATATTCACTGCAGAATAGACAGACATAGCCCATGCCAGGAAAGGAAAAATGGTCTAAAGCCAGCAATATTATACTCAGGAGCTCCCCCTGCTGGGCTTGTGTGGGTAGCTTCCATAGTGAGCGATTCTCCGCAATGCTTTATTGCCTGGTCCACACAGTTAAAGGCCTCCTAGTTACAGATGCCTGGATATGCATGGGGTACGGGTGTTTGGAAGGAGAGTAATAGTGACAAATGAGACTGAGTCCAGTTCTGAAATCATGGTTTATAATATAATTTCAGTGACACCTAGATGGTATATATAAAAAAAGAAACACAAAATCCCCAGTATTTAGTTGTTTGTTTGTTTTTTAAGATAGAAAAGAAAAATATCTAGACTTGAAATATCCAGAAGACAAGTATTGGGATGGTGTGGAAGTGGGCAGTGGGCGGGAAAGGATCAATGATTGAGAATTGCTTTTTCGTTCCTTGAACCTTTTGACCACAGACATTTAGCATGTCCCAGATGGAGACCATTTCTGTGAGCTTGTAAACACAATAATAGAAATGGGAAAGGGAAGGATTTCGCCTGACACCCCCTCTTTTTTTAACAAGAACATGATCTCAATTTCAGTGTTTAGAGAAAGCAATGAGATTTTAAAAACATAAATGCAAGTCTTTTCCCCTTGTTAAAATACTTTTTCTAATTAGAATAATCAAATGCGTGTTTTTTAATTTCTATTGAACTTATTGGGGTGATATTGGTTAATAAAATTATATATGTTGCAAATGTACAATGCTATAGTAAATCATCTGTATACTGTATTGTGTGTTCACCACCCCAAGTCAAGTCTTCTTCTGTCACCACTTGTCCCCCCTTATCCTCTTTTACATCCCACCACCCCCCTTTTCCTCTGGTAATCACCTTACTGTTGTCTGTTTTTTTTTAACCATAACATCCAGAGAATACATACATTATGATTGCATCAGTTGCTAATGTGTGGGTCTAAATTACTCTAATATGTGGGTCATTTGACTATTCTACTGAATGCATCAGAAGTGCTTTGTGTTTTTCTAATGACTGCATAAAATATCTAATTGCTTTGTTCCTCATATAGTGCTTGGCATCAAGAAAATACAGCAAAAACATCATAATGGAAGAGCTAATAGCTAAATTCCTTCCAGAAGAACTCAAGGAACGAAGGAGGCTTTATGAAGAGGAAATGGAAGAACTTTCTAAGTATGTATATGGAGGTTTCTATTTTCAGTTTCACTCATACCAGCTCACAAAGCTGAATGTGCACATTTCTTCCCAACTCCTCATCAAATGATGTCATGTCAGTAGCTTAAAATTGGCCGTGGTGACAGTATTTACACCATGGAAATTGGCAAATGCTATACACCAGGGATTTTTTCCCCCTAGAAAATCAGTTGTTCAACATTTACCAGTACACCATTGAAGAAGCATTAGCTAAACCACTGACTGGGTCAGATCTTGGTGCTAGTGACTGGGTGTCACTACCAGGAATAAGATAGAACAGTTTAAGTATCTAGAAGTGTCCAGGAGACTGTTTTTAAATACATAAGGAGGTGCTGTGAGATTAAGAACTTTGGTGTCAGCCAGACATGGGATTATGACCCACTTTTGCCACAGTGTAAATGTACTTCACGACCCTAACCAAGTCACTTCACCTCTCTGGACCTTCATTTCCTTATCTGTAGTTTGGGGATGATAATAGTTCTTACTTCATGGACTTGTTATGAAGATCAAATGAGTTAGGACCTAGTAAGCACCTAATAAATGGTAGTAGTGAGAATGCTGCTTCCTCTGCTATGCACAGGTCTTATGAGAGGAGAAGGGTAGGGATGGGGTTGCAAGTAGGTCTCCAAGCTCTCTGCCTGGCTGGAAGAAAAGCTCTCTTAGCAGAAAAAACAAGAGGCAATCATTAATTTGTGCTTCTCATACTGCTGCCCTCTTGTCTCCACCCCAGTGAAATCTTTACAACATTCTGGGGGCGAGGTTCCCGATGGCAAAAGCTGTTCTGGTTTTATGCCCACCCTGTAGAGAATGATTTCTAAACTGCCACCAGTTTGTCTGAATGTCCCTCTCACTTTTAACAAGTTTTCCTGGGAAGCTAGAAATTAAATCCTTCTTTTTTTTTTATTATTGTCTTATATTAGATCTACTTAGGGCATGTTTATCTCTATTTCTGATTCTTAAGTTTGCCTTGAATCTCTTGAGTCCTTCTCTTGAATATTATTTAATGTCTTATTAACAAACACTTGTATTTTACAGGTAAGGAAACTGAGTCACAGGAATATATTAGAAGGATTTCTATTTAAAGGCATTGTAAACTTAATCCTTTTGGGATTTGGGCAAATGTTTTATATCTATTGATAGGTTCAGCTGTTCCTATATTGGACCTACTAGACAAATAAGAGAACAGAGATCCAGGAGGAGCTGGCTCAGTTGGTGGTACCTCTCAGACTGTGTGTCTGAATCTTCATGGATACTTGTTGAAGGGCAGACTCCTGGGTCCTGATTCTAGAGCCAATACACCAGGGTCCCTTAAGGTACTGCAGCTGGGTTGTCAGGTTTCAAGGGCCCCCGGTGATTCTGATGCACAGGTATATTTGAGTATCGCTAGGCTAAATTACTCTTGCCTCTCCATTGCTCCCTCCTCCTCCCAGATGGACCTGCCATGGAGATCTTCTAGGGGCTTTGCAAATTTGAGGTGCTCATGGTGACTCTGCAGACAATTTCCCTCCATGCCTCTGGAGATCTGGGTCCACTTATGCCACCAGTACCATTCTCCATACTGCCAGCAAGACACCTGGAGAGATTGTTTGAGTGGAGAGTGTGAGAGAAAGAAAAAAAATGAAATGCAACTGTCACCTATCATACTAATGTATTAGAGAACTTTAGCCAAATTATATTATGTAGAATGTTAATTTTCCTCTCTGAGCCCTTAGGCTAACCCCATCATGGGACTCAGTTCACAGCATCAGTTGCATTTCAGTATTTTTTTTATCAGCCATCAAAACTTGATGTCTCCTTGCCTTCCAGTGGGGAAACCACATGGTGACATTTGACTAACATTTCTGTGTTGTGCTCTATTGCATTGTGAACCATGTCGTTCGCTCTTTCTGACAGCTTAAACAAGAATGTGCCTATTTTCGTGTGTACTATGGCCTATCCCACTGTTCCCTGTCCCCTGCACATCTTTGAGCCTTGTTACCGTCTGATGATTCGTAGATGCATAGAGACAGGCACAAGACAGTTCGGCATGTGCCTTGGAGATCCTGTCAAAGGGTAAGTGAGGAGCTATGTGAGTCAAGAGAAGTGGGTGGAGAAGGTTTTTGTTTTACCTTGGGGCTCTCCCAGGAGATTGGGAGGCACAGTTCATGGGCCTTAGCCAGCTCATGACCATGAGCCTTTGTAAGAATCAGGGTCCCTCTAGCCCCTGGCTTATCATGTGAGAGGCTGCCTATTTAAAGGGACCTCAGGATTACTCTTTTGTTAAATGGGTGGTATATACTATAAAACTTAATTTATAAGAGTGTGGGCTCTGGAGTCACACTGCTTGAATTCACATTCTGGCTTAAGCCTTAGAACAAGTTTGACTTTGGGAAAGTTACTTACCCTTTCTGTGACTCAGTTTCCTTATCTGTAAAGTGGGCACAATAAAAATGCCTACATCATTGGGTTTGTTGGGAGGACTGGTGAGTTCATAATTAACACAAAGCACTGATCACAGTGCCTAGCACGTAGTATGTGCTCAATAAATAGCAGTTATACTAATACATTAAGATATTTTTTCTCACACAGGCACTGCCTGTTGTGTAGCTGTAGCTGTAGATCCTGGGACAGGTGAATAGGCAGAAGTCCCTTGAGGCACAGCATGGGGTTATAGAAATGGCTTGGCAAGGCCAGAGAAACAACTCATGAAGATTTCACTTTCTTGACTTTTATCTCCAATAAACAGGTTTGCAGAATATGGCTGCATCCTAGAGATCAGAAATGTTCAATTCTTTGCTGATGGCCGCTCAGTGGTTGACAGCATAGGCAAGCGGCGCTTCAAGGTCCTCCATCAGGGCCAGAGAGATGGTTACAACACAGCTGACATTGAATACATTGAAGACCAAAAGGTAAGAATGGCTAGTGGCAAGAATCCCAAAGCCAGGCTATTCCTGTGGCTTCACAGATGGAGATGGTTGCAAAAAGATTTCTCAGCACCAATGGGGACGTTGGGATTTCTCATCAAATTGGTGCAGCAACCTCGAATACTGCCAGATTGCTACTGGATTGTAGAATGGCAGTGAGAGCGTACCTTGTTCTGGCTCTTTCTGCTTAGTTGCTGAGTTACAGTCATGGATAAGAAATGCTGAGGCAGACAAACCTTGGTACCCATTCACCTAGAAGTTAGGTCTCTTCCAGGGGTACTAGGTGTACCAGGGGATACATCTCAAGAGGGGTCTACATATGTGTATGGTTTCTGTCAATTTATTTACATTTTAAAACTTTTCCTATTGACATAATTGGAGATTCACACGTACATTTGTATTTTTAAATGGGGAACCTGGCTAAGAGTCCTTTCCAATAATACATCATCCCATACGCAGAAAGAGGGCATGTCCAGTTAATCCTTTGTGTTCTGGACTAATGGGCAGAAGAGCAGGTAAATAATCCTATGTTCATGTATATTTACATTTACTACATAGAACACTATTAATAAGTATTTGATCAACAAAAAATGTATTCAACTTGGAAGATAGAGTTATACAATGAGAAACAGACACCTTCGTGTTTCTCTTCCTAGTGAGCAATGAGAAAGCAGATGCAAAAAATGAAAAGGAAAGAGACATAAACCAGTATAACCTACATTAAGAGTACATCTCCACCCATGCCAGTTTGCATTTCTGGTTTTCTATATGTGTTGCTGTTTCAGCCAATTTCCCCAGCTGACTCTTTCTCCTTCTTCTACCCTCAGCAGTATTCACACACTCCATCCATCCACAAAGTCCATCATCTAGCTGAGGAGCCTTTCAATTACCACACAAGAGAAAGCTGGGTGGGTGAGCTTTCCCATAGGGAGACGGGATGGATGCTCAGGCGAGTCAGGTACCAACAGTTGCTCTAGGGGTGATGGAGAAGGTACAGAATGTTTCTCTTCCACTTTGATACTTTCAGGTTCAAGGACAAGATTGTGCTGAGCTCATGGGATTACATAACTGTGTCTATGAGCAAGCATCATCGTGGTTTCATTCACTCAAATCATCTCTGAAGAATCGGATACTCAATCACTTTGGTCCAATGCCAGAGAAAGATGCAGATCCCCAGGTATATAAAGTGTCTCTTTGTATTCACTTGCCTCCAGCAGATGAGAGAGCCCAGGGTTTAAGATTAAATGGATGCGTGGTCATCTAGCAAATCAAATGCAGAGAGCAAGATGGATCTAATCTGGTATTGTGTGGCTGGGCAATGGGCATCAGGGGTAAAACCAAAATGATCCCAGAATTGAAGGAACTGAAGTAGAGCAGTGGTGATTTGGATCCAAGACAGGTTTTGAGAGAGAAGTCAGGTGAGAGGTGGGAATACAGACACCATCAACAGTGGGAGTCCAGATTCACACCATGGTAATGTGTTAGGGTGACAAAATTCACACAAAGGCTAGGCTTAAGACAAGGGTATTCTGGGAGTGGAGACCAAAGACGGCCACTTCCAGGGAGCTTCATAACTCTCTCCCCCATTGCTGCAGGGGCTAGGAAATAGGGCCAGCTACCTTGAAGGATTCCAGTTGGAAGACCACAGCAACTTTTCATGCCCTGATCCCTCCATGCTTAGTCCTGCAGGTCTAGACCTTTTCATTGTCCTCATCAGGGGTGAGTAGGACCTGAGAAAACTGACCCAATAGTTGAATTTACTGGCTCTTTTTTTCCATTTATAGTCTTCTAAAATTTATTTTTTAGTTTATTTTTCAATTATAATTTACATACAGTATTATCTTAGCTTCATGTGTACAACATAGTAATTAGACATTTACATACCTTAAGAAGTGATCACCTCAATAAAAATAGTACCCATCTGACACTGTATATAGTTATTAAAATATTATTCACTATGAAGTCCCTATTCTGTACTTTGCATCTCCTTAACTATTTTTATACATGGCAATATGTACTTCCTAATCTCCTTCACCTTTTGTAATGTCAGTCTCATTTGTTAAAACATTGGTTAGAATAGCAAAGTATTTGCCAGTGACATTGATGATCATCTTAAAAATATAATCAACCTGAAAAATCCATCAATTGGGGCCAGTAAGTCATACTACATTCCTACAATGGAATATGTAATACTTGGGTTTTTTTTCCTACTTTTTCTCTTTTCTTAAAAAAAATGTTTATTCTATTACAACTATCTCAATTTTTACCCCTTTGCCTTCCTACACCCATCCCACCCTGACCCCTGCTCCCACAGTCAGTACCCACTCCGTTGTCCATGTCCATGGGTCATCGATATATGTTTTTTGTTGAGTCCTTTCTTCTTTCCACCATTGTCCTCCATCTCCACCCCTTCTGGCCACTTTCAGTCTGCTCCATGTTTCCTTGCCTGTGGTTTATTTTTTAGTTAGTTTATTTTGTTGAATAGATTCCACTTATTGGTGAGATCATATGGTATTTGTCTTTCACTGACAGGCTTCTTTCACTTAGCATAATATTCTCCAGTTCCACCCATGTTGTTGCAAAAGGTATGAGTTCCTTCTTTTTTTTTTAAGTGAAGATTGATTCTATTTATTTATTTTTTAATGTAAAAATCCATTATAAAATATTAAAAAATTAAAGTCCCTTATAAAGTCTCAGCAATTAAAACAACATGACACCAACACAGAAATAATCATAGATCAATGAAATAAAATGAACATTCTAGAAACAAATGTATATATCTAACAATGTAATATATGATTAAATTGATATTTCAAATCAATGGGGAAAAGAAGGCTTATTCAACAAATAAGGTGCATGAATCACAATTACTTGAAATGAAACGAATATAGATCTCTATTTCACACAATATACAAAAAATATTCAGATGAGTTAAAAGTCAGTATGTAAGGTCTAAGGAGCTTTAGTAGAAAATACAAAATAACATTTTTCTCACCCTGAAGGAAAATATTCAAACCCAGAAGCTATAAAGTAAAATATTAACAGTATGACTATATTAAACACTTAAGACTATATAGTAATATACATATAAAAAGAAGTTACAGGACAAGTAATAGAATGGGAAAGTATTTGCAACACATCTAAAAAAGGGTTTATAGTTTCTTATTTTAGGGAAAAAATTCTACAAACAGTCCAAAAATTGATAAAGAATACCAAAAAATCATTTAAAGCTTTCAAAAAATAATAGAAATAGGGAAGATATATATGAAAACAAGTTTAGTTTCAACAAATAATAAAGTAACAAAATAATACATCATTGTCATAATCAGATTAAAAAGTATTAAAAATATTGGTAATATCAAGTATTGGTGACTGTGAAAAGAACTGGATATTCATAGACTCTTTTTCCTCATCTTCTTAAAGCAGTCCCTTTAGCATATTTTGCAATGCTGGTTTGGTGGAGGTGTATTATTTTAGTCTTCTTTTGTCTGGGAAAATCCTTATTTCGCCTTCCATTTTAATTGAGAGCCATGCTGGGTAGAGTAGTCTTGGTTGCAGGCCTTTGCTTTTCATTCCTTGGAATATTTCTTGCCATTCCCTTCTGGCTTGTAATGTTTCTGTTGAGAAGTCAGCTACTAGCCTTATCAGGGCTCCCTTGTATGTTATTACCTGTTTCTCCCTTGCTGCCTTTAGGATTCTTTTTTGTCTTTGATACCTGCAATTTTAATTATGATATGTCTTGGAGTGGGCACCATTGGGCTGCTCTTGAATGGGACCGTCTGTGCTTCCTGGACTCACGTGACTTTTTCTCTCCTCCAATTAGGGAAGTTTTCCATCATTACCTTTTCAAACAGGTTCTATATCCCTTGCTCCTCTTCTTTTCCTTCTGGTATCCCTATTATCCAGATATTATTACATTTCAGGTTGTCCTGCATTTCTCTCAATGCCTCTTCATTCTTTTTGAGTCTTTTTTTTAACTTTCTTGTTCTTTCTGGGAGCTTTTTTTCTACCTTATCCTCCAGCTCACTGATTGGATCCTCAGCTTCATTGAGCCTGCATTTGATTCCTTCTACTGTGTTCTTCAATTCAGAAATTGTATTCTTCATTTCCTCTTGTCTCTTATCGATAGTTTCTATGTCCTTTTTCATGTTGATATAGTTTGCAGTAAGTTCCTCGTAGTTTCCCTGTAGTTTTCTGTAATTCTCTCTGAGCTCACTGAGCTCATTGAGCTTCCTTAGAATCATTGTTTTGAACTCAATATGTGAGAGTTTACTTGCGTCTACTTCATTTTGTTCTCTTTGTGGGGATTCCTCCTTTCCCATCGATTGGGGGGTGTTTCTTTGTCTTCCCATTATTTGTGAGACTCTTCTTTTTTGCTTCTCCTTCTTAAGTTGATCTGTCTTGATTTCCTGACTTTGTGGTGTGAACCTCAATGGTAGGAGATCGCTGTGTTTTTTTTTTTTCCTTGATCTGCTTCTGATGATGTCCAATGTCTTCCCTGTCTGACCTCAGGCAGTCTATTTGAGACTTCCAGGAATCTACTGTCTGTGGCTCTCTCCTTCAGTTGTTAATCTAGTCCCTCTGCACTCAGCACTCAGGCTTAGGCACTACAGGGCCAGGGCAGAGTCCCTCCTGGGGGCAGGGCTATTTGTCCTCTCATGCTGCTGCTGCTTAGGGGAGTGGTCTGCCTGAGCAAGATGGCTGCTGCTGTATTGGGGATGAATCAGCACCGGGATTCCGCCGGCTACTCTCTCAGTTTCCTCCCCAAAGCTTCTTTCCCCAGTCTCTTCTCAGACATCTCCAGTTCACTCTGCCCCCACCTTTGCCGGAGACCAGGTAAGTGGCTGCAAATAAAAATTTATGCGTTGGTCCTTTAAAAGGCTCTTTGTGTCTCCAGCCACCTGTCTCTGGCAGAGAGCAACTCTGCCGCTTTTTTGCAGCTGGTTGTTATCTGTGTACTTTTTGGGCTCTGGTGCTGTAGGCTGGAGATCCCCGCTTATGGTTTAGACTCTGCTCTTGTCAGAACGATCCAACTGGCTATTTCAATATCCTTCTGGTGCTACTGCCCGTGTGCGCCCCACCCACCTTCTCTAGTCTCTACCATAGTCCTTTCCAGTTAGGTTGTGCTAAAGTTGAATCTTCTGTCTGTCTGAGGTTACAAGGCCCCTCTCTCGCTATTGTTCAGTTGTTTGTACCAGGTGATTTCTCCACAATTTAGTTGTAATTCCATATTGATCCTGGGAGGAGGTCAGTGTGACTTCCATTCACTCTGCCATCTTGATTCCTCCCTAACTTTACTGGCTCTTGATTTGTGTGGCTCAGTGGGTTGGGCATTGTCTTGCAAACTGAAAGGTTGCCAGGTCATTTCCCTGTCAGGATACATGCCTGGGTTTTGGGTTGGGTTCTCGGTTGGGGGCATGTGAGAGGGAAGAGATCATTGTTCCTCTGGCACACCAATGCTTCTCTCTCTCTGTCCCTTCCCACCTCTCTAAAAATAATAAATAAAATCTTTTAAGAAATAGTTAAATTTACCATTGGCTGAATTATGCTAGAAAAATTCATTGGGTTCTGTTTGGTCAGTCTATTTCCTAGAGGGACAGGTTCCTTTGAGAAATCAAGCTGCAGATCAGAAGCTCTCCAGGCAAGTGGAGATAGTTAAGTTTCACCAAGCTTCGCTTGCCTGGTATAAATCAGAGAACATTCTCTTTTCAGGACAAGGCTGGAGATATGCTAGCCAAATATTTTCCCACAACCACCTTTCCCACATTCTGAGCTGGCTCTCCTACATCATCACCTCCAGGACTGCATGTGTACTTTACTTTCACTCATTCCTGACTCTGTCACAAGAGTAAAATAGAATATGTATATTCTGACTTCCTTGCCAAAAGACTGGTCCTGCTTACTGCTCTAGCTGTGTGACCTTGGGTAAGTCCCTTCCTCTTTCTCCACTTTTCTCCCGTCTCCGAAATGAGGCAGATAGATGAAGAGGTCTCTAAAGTCTCCTATTCTTTTTGCATTCTTAGGCTTTAAAACACGCTACCAGGATGAAATGTCTACTGTCTCCAGATCACAAAGGTGGCTCCTTTCCCCCATCCAAAAGCATTGTGAATGTTGAGGGGAGAAAGACCAGTTAGTCCTCCCCAGTAACCCAGCTCCTTGTCCTGGGCCACTGTGACTCAGGACTACAGCAGAGCTCTGAGCAAGCTCACAATCAAACTTTATGTTCCCCTTCACCTTCTGGAAAGCATTCTCCCCCCAGTCAGGCAGAAGATAGTGATCAGAAATGATAACAGCATCTTCCACAAGAAAGCAACACAGATGCTACAGAGTGATACTTAAGGGCTCAATGACAGAAAGCTGAAACTTGAGTTTCATATCCTTTCTTATTAGGACTGTTACATGTTGCTTTGGCGGCAGCAGCACTAGCAAACAAACAAAAAAAAAAACAAAATCCCATCCACTTTGATCCAGTCAATGCTGCAGCCCCAATGGTTCCATTAATAAGAATGTTATAAGCCTTGGGAGGAGGCTTCTTAGAAACAGCCACGGGTATTAACATCAGCTTAAATATTTTCGTTAATTATCCTGGAAAAGTTCAGAATATGTCTATATAGTATTCAAAACTGATAATATTAGGGAGGGCACATTACAGACTGCAGTGAGTGGAATCAAAAAATGACTCCAAATGAAGATGAAGACACAGAGAAGCCACTGAAGAGCAGTGATACTTGGGGAAGAATTAGGTGAACCAGTTTGGAGGTATATAATCCCATGTGTAGGTGATTTGAGCAGAATGTGGTTCTCTAGTCATAAAAGCAACATTCAGGAAATTGGGGGCAGGAAGGTCATCTTAGACTTAGCAGGAAATAAGTCACCAATGTCTAAAATGTGTGTCTGGGCAGCAGCTGACAAACAGAATTTTTGTGAAGGGTTTGTATGAGATGGGAAAGCTCCTTAGTGAAAGGAAACCTGAGGGCAGAATACATATCTCATGTGAATGTGTTCTCTAATTGGATGTTTGCGAAGTGGGATTGCTGGGCTTTGGGGCTGTGAATCATAAGTTTGGTTTCAGGGGAGAAGTGAATTGTGGCCCTATATAATGACATGGCATACATGGATTATAGTGCCTTCAGCCAGAAACAGGGAAATGAAAGGAGATAAGAGAGATGCAAAGTCTAAGGGGTCATGGGAATGGGAAGTTCACAAATTGTATGCATCAGTCTGAAGTACCTTAAATCGAGTCTTCTCAAAGAGACTGAATAGTGGATATTCCAGCTCATAAAATCACACTGGCTAGGAAGTATAGTGAGTCTGTTAGGATATTGATTTGCTTCCTTTAACAATTACCAGAAACAACCAGCTTAAACCATATAGCAGACATGTATCTCTTAGAGGCCTAGGGTAGCTCTGTTCCATGAGATTGTAGACAGACCCAAGTTTATTCCTCACAAAGCTATACCATGCTTTGAATGTTGCTCTCGTCCTCCTGATTGAAGTAGGCCAATCATCACCGTGTCCACATTCTAGCTAGAGGAAAGGGAGAAAGAGGATGAAGGTGGGGGGCATGTGCCCCTTTCCCAGGGCATGACCCAGAAGTCACACATATCACTTTCCTTTGCATCTTAGTAGCCAGAACTTTGTCTCATGGCCTCACCTAGCTGCAAGGGAGGCTGAGAGATGTGGTCTTCTTTTTCTGTGTGGCTATATTCCCAGCTAAGATAAGGGAAAATAGATAAAGGGGCAATTATTCTCTGCCACACACAGAAGCAGTTTCACCTAGGATATTTACCTTGCTACTTTCGAAACCTGCACACTGATATCACTTCCATCGGGATAGGATGAACCCATTTTGTTTCTCTGTTGCAGGGTAACCCAAATGGTCCAGCCTGGTGCTGGTGGACACTAGCAGTTCTTCCATTGGAAAGCCGAGCTCAGCTCCCATTCCTAGCAATGAGGTCCTTAAAGGATAGACTGAACGGTATTCGGCGCGTCCTGGCCTTTATATCTCGAAACCAAAACTAGTCAGAGTGGATTGCCGAAGAGAAACTTCCACCCTCCCCACAGCCTAGGGGAGTTGTCTTGTAAATACATCTAATTGCAATAACATCTTAACAGAAGGAAGTATCAAACAGAGGCATTACGCTGCTGTTGATCACAGAGAGACATTGAGTAGAAAGACCAAAGAATGTGACCTGTTAGAAACTTTCTGTCTTAAGATACTTCTTGACATGCTGCACAACTACACACACAGCAGGGGTGTTCAAGAGCCCAGAAAAAAATACTGCTTTTAACATAAAAGTTTCTGAAAGTTTAAAGTGGTTTCCTTTAATTTTCTTTCCTTCATTGGTGAATGACTATGTGATTGAAATGTGAAGCAAAGATACTAATAATGTTGCTGCATTATTACACTGGTTCATGGTCCTTTCCAAATGGTTTAGGTTTTATAAAGCATTGTGTAAAATAATATTTATACTTCTTTCTGTTTTACTAATTTATTTTTTGCACTACTGTATCCTTTTTTTCTACACATATGTGTATAACTATTTAAGTATACATTACTGAAGTCAGTTGCTTTATTTATTGATGTAATTTGCCATGTAACTAAGGGGAAGTAACAAAACTACAAATGTGCCATTTTTGCTTTAACCAGTTTTTACTATGTTTGATCCCAGTTCTTGAACTATTTTTGTATCTCTCCAATTGGATGCTTAAAGGGAGTTCAGAATTATGCTAAGTCATCTATCATCACAGATTCCATTTTGTTTTCAGTTTGAATTCAACAACATAAAATACTTAAGGGATTTGGCATAGACTGTAGAATAAACCAGGATAAAGTAAAATAATCCATTTTCTATGTGTTATACAGAGCAAGGCTGAAGGAATTATTTTTCTGGAACAAAGCAATGAATCAGAGGAGTGTCCCTTATTACAATCTATTATAAGCATTTATCTCAGCAATCTAATTCTAAGTGTTTCTAATTTCTCCCCAGTTCAGTTACAAATGGGATTTTTAAGCAAGATAATATTTAACCCTTCAGAGGGAATAGTTTTTGGCCACATCACAGCTAGATCCAACTAACATCCATACCCCACGTCTTCTCAGGGCTCTGAGGATCACAACCTGGCCAGCATGTGTGGAAACACTCAAAGAACTGTTCATTATGAAAAGTGTAAAAAACCTGGTTGAAAAGGTAGACTGCTTTAAAGAAAATACTATAATTTTGGTTTTTAGGATCTTTTTAAAAGAACCAAAAAGTTAATCCATGATTTTATCTAACCACTGCCTTTCTTCCTAGTTGCAGTGGGCCAAAGATTTCAATATAGAGGAAGAATGGTAGATAAGGAGTGAACCCTGTTTTAGCTTGCTTAGAGTTAATGTGTTTCCTTCAGTGCCAGGAGAACCTGAAAAATAGCGTGGGTATGGAAGTGTTATAATGACAGAGTGAAGAGATTAGGGCAGGGGAGAAGTGAATTGTTTGTGCCATTCCTACCTTTACACAAATGATCCCCCTACCCCACCCCGCCCCATAATTCTAGATGGTTGCAGTGTGTTATTCACTTGAAGCCTATCCACTCTGTTAAGGTGAAAGGTTAATGCCTCAACAAATTACTCTTGATTTCTTCTATCACCACCTCTGGCCAGAAACAGAAAAGGCAGAAGGAGATGATCTGCACTTTCTTAACGGATGCTGCTGTTGTCAGAGCATCATGTTACTAGGTTTGATGTTTGGAACCAGACTGGGCTGGTGAGAAACAGCAAGATAGGCATGGTTACTGCCCAAGCAAACTTTACAAGACTCAGAGAGCATGAAATTACAGGCTCCCCCTCCGACTTGGTGCACAACCATGTGGCCATAACAGCCCTACTTTAATAGTTTCCTATTATCTAGTGTAAACTCACCCCTCAAAAGGGTCATAAGCATCTCTCCTTGCTAGATGTGTTACTTTGTGATTTAACTTTTTCCTGAGCCCCAGTTTCCTTATCTGGCAAATAGTAATGATAAATACCACATATAGGGTTGTTATGAACATTAAATGAGATAATATATGCAAATCACTTAGCACAGTGCCTAACTTATAAGAAACATTCAATAAGTAATACCTGTGATTAGATTATTCATTGTTATGGAATATCACCAGGGGCCTACATTTGCATAAAATGCTGCCTTTATGCACAACACCCATTTTAACTCTTTTCAACTCGGTTGGGAGAATCCACACCACTAAGTTTTGGACCATAACTTCATGCTTTACAGATAATTCCTTTTGGAGTCAAGTCTGTTTGGGAAAGTGAAAAGACTGGAAAACAAGGGTGAGAGAGAAGGGACAATTCTGTGTTGGCAAATTTTTCTTATTTGTATAGGGCTAAAAAACAGTATTGTTTGGAGGTCTAGAATTTCTGATAAAATGGAAGCCTTAAGTTCTAGCTCCATTAGAATAACCAACTAATCACTCCCTGCCCTCCAAAATTTATTGAAAATCTTGGCCATGCCAGGGTGAGTGAATTTTACAATCTATGACTTTTGTGCTTAGTTCATGCTATTTCTTTTTGCTCCTCCAACAAATATGTATTGTGAACCCACCATATACCAGATATTGAGCCAGATGATATCACATACATGAGCCTGCTAAATCATTTTATTTCTCACATCCACCCTGTGAGATCACTTATCATCCCCATATTATTGGATGAGAAAGCTGAGGCTCTGCAATGTTAAATACTTTGCATAAGTAGCATAATCAGCCCGTAAATAGCCAGGCTTGTTTTTGAACTAATTATTTTGCAGATATTTAACATTTTCAATAGTTTTTGTTATGCATAACTTATTAAATAGGCATGACAGAAACATCCCAGAAGCTCACAATGGGAAGTTGCAGGTTAAGGAAAATTAAATTACCCAACATATCTACTCATTCTAGGTGGAAAGGGAAGCTTGAATTTTTAAAAATAAAAGTCCATGTCATAGAATGCTTCCTGTTAAGTGAGCATTTCAGCAAATTTAGATCTTGGTGAGGCAGAATTGCACTTTGCTCTCAGTAGCCTAGATTCACATTTGGGTGGGTTTACAGCCAGCTTTTGTTTTAGTAGTGGTGGGAGGCAGGATGCGAGGCTAAGCCTCGGCTTTCTTTTGGATGTCCTTGAATGGGTTAATCAGTTAGACATGATCATTTACACCTCTCTTGATTTTGCAGTAAAGCTTGGAAATGAAGAGTATACAGAAAAAAGACATAAAGCTAAATCTAGGCCTGAAGGACAAGACTTCTCCTTGGTAGACAGTGCCATAATAAATGGCTAGTTTTCCTGTCTGTCAGGACCCAATCTTTTCCTAGTAGGTTATTTTCTCTGTGTGTGTGTGCACCCATGTGTGTGTGTATATATGGTACCAAGCAGATATTATGCCTTTCTGCCTTGTACTATACTACTGCTGCTAGCTAACAAACAGCAAAATGTAGAAAATAGAAAATGATAAAGTGAATTTTCTGTAGACAACTTAGAGAAAAAAGTGCTTCCCCTGACTTGGGGGAGGAGAGCAGGGAACTGATTAACAATTTATCTTTTCTGAAGGCTGACTGCTAGTGGAGTCACTGCCCATGTGGCACTTCCAGGTCTGCTTGTGGAGCTTACCTGGGCTCAGATAACCCTTCGTGACCAACCATTGGAGCAGTGGACCTCCTGAGTGGTTCACAGCCCACAGAGGTCTCTTACTGTCAATATATTGCACACTGTCGATGGATTGGAACCCTATTGGGTACTGTTTCCCCCATGCCAACTCCATTTCCAAGATGGAGTTTTATTCAGGGACACATTCCTTGAGTTTCTGACGTGTTGACTTTGTATTCATTTCTGTGTACCAAGGCAGAATCATAGCAGAGGTGTGTAATAAAGATGCAAATGGAAAGCAGCTGAAATAATGGAAAAGGACAGATTTTTGAACCCATTCTTGAGCTTGTGGATTGAGGTTTTGATTTATGATCAAAGGCAGTTCTGAAAAGCAGTCAGCTGCATGGGCTGCAATTTGTGGCCCTTCCTGAGTGTAGAGAGGAAGAAGGAAAGGGAACCATGTAAAATGTATGCATTCGCCCTGGCCAGTGTGGCTCAATTGGTTGGAGCGTTGTCCTGTAGCCCAAGGATTTTCAGTTCAATTCCTGGTCAGGGCACATACCTAGTTTGTGGGTGGGTTCATTCCCTGGTCTGAGCATGTATGATCCCTGGTGTGGGTGTACAATCCCTGGTCTTGGTGTTTGCGAGCAGCAATCAATCAATGTTTCTCTCTCACATTGATGTTTCTCTCTCTCCCTTCCTCTCTCTGTAAAAAAAAGCAATGAAAAAATATCCTCAGGTGAGGATAAAAAAACAATTAAAATGTATGCGTTCAATTCTTCCTAGAATGATAGCTCTTGCAGTTCAACTATTTAATAATCAGGATTATGCACATTCAGAGGCGAAATGAAGACATTTTTACTTACAAATGGGTATTTGCAAATGTGTTAAGTTAACCTTGAGGGAGAAGTGCCTGTAATCTCTGTTCCTGGTCAGTTTAAATCTTTGCTTCATTACTTTGTAGCCTTTTAAAAATTTGTTGCAGCAAATGTGATTAACAAAAGTTTACAAAGCAACACTGTAGTTTATACATCATTTTAAAAGTTGCTTAATATGAGTCTGTTGTCAAAACAACAACAATAAACAACAAAATAAAAGGAGAACAAATCAATGTGGCATCATAGACTCATCTTAGATAAACTAATTCCATCATTTCATGGAGTTCTCAGTAATGCCAAGAGTAAAATATTAAGCAACCCATTTAAACAGCAGTAAATGTGTCTGTGTTTGTTATTCCAGTTGTTTATTGAGTAGCCATTTCACTCTTAAACTGTAATAAACTGAAAGGGGAATTAAGATAATGCTTTTCCCTCCCATATTGCTATTCAACTACCTCTATATGCTTGATTTCTCTTAAGGATTTTCTTTCTTCCAAATCTGTACAAAGAAAAGTTTCAGCTCATGTATGTTGTAATAACAATGTGATATAGACAGTCTCTGTGAAAGCTGTTTGTTAATTAAAAAATGTTTTCTATTGTCTCACTTTGTGTCTAACCCAGCTCTACCTATACTTTAGAATTACCCAAACACTTTCATTTTGTTGCAAGTATTTTGTTGGAAGATAGAAAGGAAAGCTATTGTAACATCTATTTGTTCACATTCCTATTGGTTGTAATGCTTTTGAACAGATCTTTCAAGGAAATAGACCTGTACTCAGCAAGCTCTTATTTATGTGACAATGAGGCAGGTGTGAATTGATTAACGTGATATGTGTTCTGAAACCCTGGCCATAAATTAATTGTTTAAAAAATGTACCAGAAAAACTTGTCTTTTAAAGAGTTATGCTGAAATATTTTGCCAATAATCTATCCCCAATTTATTTATAAATCCATTTATATATTAGGTTTGTTTAAAGCAGAGCACAGTACCTACACTGTTAGGGTTTTTGGCATTATGAAGTGTTTATGAAAGCAAATTACACGTTTTTATTTCAGTTAAAAACAGCTTCTCAACAATAGTCTAAGCTAAAACATGGACCTTTTGACAGGAAAATTGGTAACACTGACTGGGACAATGAATGATACTGACCAACCTGACTAGCAAGAGAGCTTCAGCAGCAACTCATCTTATTTACAGGACCCATGTTAGTCTCATGCCACTGATGACTTTATGCAAGTTCTATTTTACCACTGAAGAAAAATAATGGCATGGGAGTAAGACAATTAAAAATATGAAATGATAGAATATTCCGCTTGGGCCAGACCTTTTTCTTTTTAACAGGATCTTTGGGTGATTGAGAAAAAAATCAGAACTCCTGCCCAATGAGAGAGGCCTCAGAGGAAATGCTTGGCTCTGTTGGATGTTGCCCTTCTCTGCCCAGCCTGCCATACTCTGGCTCTCATGAGATAGAGTACACTCTGGCCAAAGGCACAATCTTCCCTCCAAGGTAGTTCTTCTGTCCAGAATCCTGGCATAACTTTCTTTGGAGAACTGGATTGGATCACCTAAAAAGAAGGTCTTCTTTGTGGTTGTCCCGTAGGCCTTGAGCAAAGCCAAAGCCAACGCTCTCTGTTTCCTCTTTTCTGGGACCCATCCTGGCAAAATTGAGTTTCTCCAGGGCCAAATAAACACTTTCATCAGAGGACCACTGGTCGGGAGAGCATTATGTCGACAATTAGAGTTAAGCCCTTCTGTTTAGGCAGTCTACAGGGATGAGTTCCAGTTGGAGGGAAGGAAGAAGGGAGAGAAGGGTTATGGAAATGGATAATCATGACAACTGAAGTGGCACCCTTTTTACCTCATTCTGTACAGAATGTCATGCATCCTTTTCCCCTGCTGACTGGATTTGATCTTCTATCCTGACTGGGAATGTCACTTATGCTCACACCAAGACTGTAGTAATATCTTTAGGAAATATGAGTCATGTTCTTAAACTTTTAGGCAGCCAAAGGCCTAGCTTCTCTGTTCAAGGAGGTTTTCTCTCATGCAGCCTGCTACCTGGGAGAAACTCCACCTGCTCCCCAAAAGTTTGAGTTCAATGGGTCTGAGACAGGTCGCTTTAGGCTGGGCAAGAGAAGCTCTTGAGAATGACGTCTGGCGGTTCCTGTTGGGGGACACCCTCTCATCTGAACTTTGAGATAGCGGTAAGTGCTGGAAGACCTCTTTTCCACTTTATGTATTTATTTTTTGCACTCATTATTCAACTCATTTTTTATTCAACGCAGTCACTAACAAGGAAACCAGTAAAATATTAATACAACCTGTTCCAGAGAGAACCCATTTCCACTTTAAAGATTCCTTCATCTTTGGATTTATAGCCATGGAGAGCTGGTGGCCCTCCCATTCAGGTATCTGACCTTCAACAGGAGATAAGTAGTTTCATTAAGGGGCTTTAAAAATATTCAGGAAAGATAGAAACATACCAGAGAGATGGGATCATTGGACTTATGAACCAAATTTGAAATTTCTTACTTCTGGTCTTCCTACCAAACAAGATATTAAATGTCTGTTTTGGGGAGGGGGATATAGGAAGTCTTGATGATCTGTCCTTTGAAAAGCAAGGCTAGATCTGTTTTTATGGCCTGCTGGAGAGGGCCATATTTTGACAAATCACAATGATGAGAAGAAGCCTGAGATCTAGCAGGTGACTAATAGTTAAGAAGCTTGCACTTATTGAGTGCTCAGTGTGAGCCAGACCTTGATAAGCCTCAGCTCATATAATCCGTACAACAATCTTATAGGGTAAGTATTCTTATTACCATCATTTGACACTTGTAGAAACTGAGATTTAGAGATGTGAAATAATTTCCATTTTATGATCCTTCCAATGTATTAAACACACAAAAATAAATGCCTAAGATAAGGTTAAAAAAATTGTGGTAACTTTTACACATTTAATTACAGAGCAATTTAACACAGTATGGGTTTGCTATTCACAAGAGAAATCCAGGATTTAGAGGAAAATTAATTTTTACTACACTATATACAATATGGTCTGCAAATGTCTGCAATGTGGTCTACAAGCTTTAAATTGTATGACAAATGTCTCTCTCCAGACTTATCAGCAAAAACTCTGTGAATATGGAAAACAGCCTTGTTGTGAGATAACCTCAAACATAGACTCCTTTCATGAATGCAAGGCTTTCATCAAATGGCTTTCCCAACTGCCCTTCCAAGTCTTGCCCTGAGAGAAGGCTTCTGGCATCAGAGGGCCCCTCACGAGTACATTCAGTGTCACTCAGTTTCACAGCTCTGACTCTCACCATAGCTTCTAGAGGGGCGGTACAAACTTGAAAGTCCTTCCAGGCCAAAACAACTTTGTCCTGACTTTTTTTTGTTATCTCAGTAAATTAACCTTATTTCAGTGTTCTTTTTACTGCTGTATCTCAGTGGTTAGCACCATGATTGTGTTACACACAAACATGGGACATTATATATCTGCAGTCTAGAAAAATGCGTGCACGCACACACAATTTTGAATACAATTTTCATACAGTTTACAGACCTCCTCTGAATCAAAGAAGGTCATTCATGTACTCTATGTATAAGAACTCTCTACACACTAGCATCCATGATCATCAATAGGAAGTTCTAAGCCATAATTATTTGAGGCTACCAAGGTTAACACGAGAACCCCCTATTTCAGTAATTTGATGGTGGTTTAACATATAAGGACAACATGCTAAATTTGGACTTGATCAAAAGTCCCAACTTTTCCTGTCTGACAAGTTTGAGGACTTCCCCGCACACCTCCTTCTGACTTAATTTCACTGGAGTGATAGTTACTGGGTTACAACCTAGAATTGACCCAGCAACCAAGAAAATGTAAATATTCATTGAATCTCTGTGGGGCCATTCTGCGTAAACAGAAAATGTGTGTAAGTTTTTCTGCCTCTGAGAATCAGTTAAAAGCCATGTACATGGGCACATATATTGGGGGACTCTTAGACCTCTTGACATGCATCCATCGACCATTCTGCTCTATTTGCTCTCTGGTTTCTGGACATTTGCTTCCTCTTTTGTTCCCCATTTTATTCATCTGATTGTCTCTGTCCTTGCCTCATCACACTTGAGCTCCCCCATTTTGGACCCATAGTTATGTTTCTTCCAGGTTTTCCTCTTTCACTCTTTCAACTGTTATTTTCTTGAGCCTTACATCACACTGTTCTGTTCTTTTGGTCTCAGCTTCCTTTTTCCCCCAATAGCCTCTGACCTTCACCTGCCTGTTCATCCTCTGCCTGGCCCAGCTGATGGTTTCCAACATTTCCTGCAAATGGGCTTTGCCTTATTCTCCTAAAGAGTTTCATTATGCCTTCCCAATATACACTTGCACTTTGATTACATTTCCCATCGATTTCAGCTTTGAAAACACAAAAACAAATCAAACCCCACAACTCAGGAAGCCATGTTGACATATATTTTTTAAAAGTCTAGTCCTGACTATCCTTTTATCCTCCATTGGTTTCTACTTTCAAAGCTGCTGCTTTGAGAGGAGTAGCATTATATTTCTCCCCACCCCTCTCTTCCCTTAGCTATGGACCTAAAGAGTAAAAGATTCTGTCTACCTAAAAAAAAAAAAGACCATCAGACTGAACCCAGACATTTATATGTGGGGGCCCATAACAAAACAGTTTTGTTTTACTGT